TCTCCGTGGCCCCCTTGTCAGACTCTGGCCTCGCTCTGGCCGCTCCACAGCCTGGAGATCCCCCTAAGAGACCTCGCCCCTGTCGGATACCCCAAGCCCCTAAGACGTCCCGGTAGATTCGAGGGTCTAACTTCTTTTTTGTGCGCCCTCCCTCTGTCCTGGCGGGGGTCGGAGTTGGGGCTGATAAGATGGGTGCCTGCGAGAACTCGGGACCTCGCTTGGTCCCCAAGGTCCTGTGGGGGCCTTCGTAACAAGGTGGAGCCACGTAGGGTGGTGGCCGGTCCCAGCGGCGTCGTGGGGCCGTACCTGCAGAGCCTCTGAGTAGCAGGTGAGTCTCATAGCTGGGGGGCCCTGGCCTGCGACCTCCCCAGGGCCCCGCCCATGGCGCCCCCGGGTCGCTCTGCGGTTGCGCGGATGGACGAGCTCTCCCCACCTGCCCCAGGCGCCCGGGCCGAGAGGGAACTGGGAGCCCTGCAGGTTGGGCCACCCGAGGAACGTTCCGGGGCTCCAGGCGCGGCTGACCCACGGGGCTTCGTCGGGCCCCACCAGCTTTGCGCCTTTTTCGCTCGGTCTCCTTGGCCTCCCGCTCCTGCGACGCCGCTTTCCTTTTCTCTTGCTCCCGGGCTCGGGCCTCGGCTGGAGGCCCCGCCCGCCAGTTGGTCGCCTCCTGCAGCACCCTGGAGGCCCAGGGACGGCGGGGCGGCGGCTCGGGGGATCCCGGGCTTGGCCTACACCTGGGACAATGAGCAGGAACCCAGGTGAGCAGTTTGTGGGGGAAGGGAGCCGAGGTCCAGGGAACTGGGAGCACTGGTGACCGTTTGGGGCAGCCACGTGAAGGGGTTTGTGTGAGTGTGTGCGAGTGTGCACGTGCGTATATGTTAGGGCTGAAGTCGAAGTGGGACTCCTCGCCACCTCTCCATGCACACTTTAATAGCGCCTGCCCCATCTTACCTCCTGCCCTTTCTCACGCCCACTCATGTCCCCCGAATCAACGCTGAATGAGTCAGGCCTGAGCCCTCGAGGGGTGGGGGAGGGAGGCGCGGGAAAGAGAATGGGGACCAGCGGTGTTCACCGGTGCCTGTGGGGAGATCTGGACCCCAATCCCCGCCCCACCACTTGCTTCCCCTCACCCCTCCTTCACTCACGTGCGGTTCTGGGGCCCGCGAGCCCAGTGGCTGGCCTGAAAGTCCATGGGCTGTCGAGAAGGGGCGCGGCGACTATAATGACAGGAAATAGTCTTCACTTCGATCACCAACAGCTTGGACTTCTGCACCCAGAGGCAGCTGCCAGACTCCTCATCCTGGAGCTCCCGGGGGCTGTCGGGCCCCTCAGAGAATAGCGGGCCATCCAGCATCCTGCCCCACCCCACCCCGGCCCCCCACCCTCCCACCCGCCCCTGGAGCCCCCTCCCAGCCCAGGGAGCCGGCGCCCACTGCAGAGCGGCGGGCCCAGGGACTGGGAACTATATATACCCAGGCACACGTGTGTGCCTGTCTGTGTGTGTGCGCGCGCGCATGTGACACAGCGCGGACGGCTCAGCGTTGCTACCTCCCCCATGTACACGGCCGCCCCCTGGGGCCCAGGATTGGACGCCCCTTCCCACTGCTCTGTCCCCCAAGCCTAATGGGACCCACAGTGTGGGTGGAGGAGAGGCTTCTGATTCCTACCACGCTGACAGTGCCCCCCTCTCTAGTCGTCCCCATTTCTTCAACCTTCCTGCTGTTTTAACCCTTTACTCTCCTGCTTGTCAGGTTGCCAGACCACTAGGGTTCTACCTGGTACTTTCTTCCTGCCTTGGACTTATTTCCACAACGGGGAATGATGAGAATGGAATTTAAGGTCTCTGCCTGCCACTCTCTGTGCTGGTTTCCATGGGGTTGGGGTGCAGGAGGGGCTGGCCCACGGCTGGGGGCGCTATTTTTAGCGGCAGTGGCATTCGGGTGCAGAGATGAGATGAGTAACTAGCTCCCAAGCAGTGGAGAGAGGAGGCGGTGGCTTTCAGGAAGCTTTTGTATGATTCGGGGAGAGAGCTGTTCTCCCAAGCTCAGAAAGGGTGACCCCTACATCCTTAACCCTCACTTTTTGAGTGTGGCAGAGTGGCTGCTGGTATAGTAGGACACACTCCATGGTGGCTATCTAAGCTGTTCTACCACTCCCACTCCAGATATTTGCTCTTGGGCACCCATGGAGCCACCCCACCCAGGAGCAGATACTTTCCCCAAGTACAGAAGCCAGAATTTTGGGGTTACACTGTTCTGTGCCTACACAGCCCTGCTCAGCCTTATGGAGGACAGAATAGAGTGCTTATGCACTTGCACCCTTACTAAGAGGGATGGAGGAGGAATGATGTGCTCCCTTGGCAAAACAAATTCCCTAGCAACTGCAATAAAAGTGGCCTGTATTTCCCACTGTAGGGCTCCCTCTCCACTACCACAATTCCTAGTTCACTCAACCCCTTTCTAAAGTGGAACTAGCCTCTTGGGCTCAGTCTGTCCTAGGAAGTTGTTGCTTACATCCACATGATCCCTCCCCCTAAGCCTATACCAGGTGTCCCCTGATTCACCATGGTAATGTTAGTGGCAGCACAGCCCACGCCAACCCTTACATGCAGAGACTTAGCAACATTGCCTGGCAACCATGGCAGCAGCTTCCGTGGAGGGGAGGGGTGCAGAGAGGGAGAAAGTGTGTATGGTAATGGTTCCTAAGGAACAAGGGACAATTTGCCTCTTCTGAGAAGAAAAGGTTAGAAGCCTGTGGAGCTCCCTTGTCCTTCCCTCAGTTCCATCCTCAGATTCTGAGACTGATTGGTTGGATTTTAGAGGAAAATGGGAAAAGCAGGAGATCCCAATTTGTTTTCTGCTAAAGGACATGGACCTCTTTGGGTACAGACCCTACCTTTTAAGGTAATGGGAATAAAAAGGGTTGCATGGCAGAGATGGGACTTACTACTGAGAAATAGCACAAAACTTAGACCCTCTGCTCCTTAACATGGACCCTTGGAGAGAACCCAAACAGCCCCTGTCCCATCTATGTCCTCCCTCCTGATTCCATGCACATACCAGCCGCACTGATGGCTCTGCTTGAAGGTGCTTCTTTCCACTCTGGATTCCACCAGAGTCCAGAGGCTTTTTAAAGCTCTTGCCTCCTCCCCAGACAAATCTTTGTTAATGAGGGAATGTGACATAAGGAGACATCTGTCTTTTCCACCATGCACCTACCCACACACATATAAACATACTCTAATTCTAATAACTTGGAAGCCTTCCTCCCCCAAGTTTGGGAATGTGCTGCCAGAGCTGTGAAGAGGTGAGCACAGAAGCAAGGGCCTAGCCACAATGCAGCACTGAAAGCTGAATTCTAACAAGTGTCTTGATGCTTTTCTCCTGGTTTGGAATCAGGAGATTCCATTAGGAATCCTAGTTTGGAAAAAGTATAGTAAGGCTGATGGTTCATCAGAAGAGTTAGATACAGGGGCTGGGGTTGTAGCTCAGTGGTAGAGTGCTTGCCTTGCAAGCGTGAGGCCCTGGGTTTGATCCTCAGCCCCACATAAAAATAAACAAGTAAAAATAAAGATATTGGGGCTGGGGATGTGGCTCAAGCGGTAGTGTGCTCGCCTGGCATGCGTGCGGCCCGGGTTCGATCCTCAGCACCACATACAAAGATGTTGTGTCCGCTGAAAACTAAAAATAAATAAATAAATATTTAAAAAAAATAAATAAAGATATTGTGTCCATCTACAACTAAAAAAAATTTTTAAATGCAAAAAAAAAAAAAAGAAAGACTTAGAAACAGTAGAGGGAAGCCCAGGCTTGTAGAGATGCTGTAGTTCCTGGTTTGGATGGGAAATTATTTTGTACCTGCAAGGGAGTAGTGAAATGGCATTGGAATCTGGCTCATATCCATAGTCTGGCAGTCACTGAGGTGTCTGATGCTGACTACTGTTTCAGTCCATGTAATTTCAGCATAGGGAGTGGGTCTGATAGGGTGACCTTACTCCTGCTATTCCCTTACCCACTACTGTTAGCTCAGTGTTTGTGTGTGTGTGTGCGCACATGTTTGTGCGCCGCGAGCTACTGGAGATTTAAACTAGGGCCAAACATGCTAGGCAAGTGTTCTACCACTGTCTAGCTCATTCTTATCTTGGAAGAAAGGCAAGAATTTGTAAGTTCAAGGATAGTGCCAGCCCAGCAAAGTTCAAACAATCCAACCTTCCTTAGGAAAAGTGCTGATGGTGGCAGGTCTCTCTGCCCAAAGACCTGTCTATTCTCTGGAGAGCTATCACTGTTATGAGATTTTCCTGGGGCCTCAGCTATGGTTCAGGCAGAGGAGAAAGTGAATAATAAGGGAATAGGGTGGACAACACTTGTGAAAGGAGAATTACAGAGGTAGTAAGTCTAGCATAGTGATTAAAAAAAAAAAAAAAAGAAAGAAAGAAAGAAAAAGAAAAAGCATGAAACCTGGATCTAGACCATTTGGATTCTAATCCTAATTTTATTTTTTAGTAGCTTGTGGCCTTGAGCCAGTTAGTCCCTCTATGCCGCACTTTTTAAAAAAATCTATTAAGGGCTGGGGATTCAGCTCAGTTGGTAGAGTGCTTGCCTTGCATGCACAAGGCCCTGGGTTCAATCCCCAGTACCAGTATCTCTCTCTCTCTCTCTCTCTCACACACACACACACACACACACAAAATCTATTAAAACTAGGATAGTATTTAGTATGGTTCTGAAGACTAAATGTGTTAACACAGTTGACAATCCCTAATCAAAAAATTTTAAATCTGAATTGCTCCAAAATTCAAAACACATAGTCTCAAGTATTTAGGATAAGGAATACATAACTTGTATAGGTAAAGCACTGAGAATGATATTTAGTATGCAGTTATATATGTATGTGTGTTGTTATTACTACTGTTATTAGTGATGAGTTGAAGAAGTCATATGAAGTTAAAAGGCTGGGGAAAGTGTCTATTAAGTGTAAAAATCAAACACTGCAATAACATGTGAGATTCTTGTCATTTAATCAGCTTTGCCATGAAAAGCAATAACCTTTGCTATCCACTCTGACCTCCTCCACCACTTAACCATCTTCCTTCATACGCTTACAGCACAAGAACCAAAAGCCTTCCTCCCCACAATACTCCCCACTCAGATCACTGGAAGAAATGACACTAAATGGACACAGCCTCCTCCATACAGCATGAACTAGGAAGAATAAAAATATGAAGAGTTTGGTTGTGCTATTATCTTAGGATAGAGTCAGAGCAGAGACAGAGGCAAAGGAAGGGTGAGGTCTAGGGATCTCTCAGAGATCAGTATTTGCCTGAGGAGCACAGAGCCCATTTTATACCCAACAGGGGGCTATGTCTAAGACAGGAGCTGGGATTGGCTAGGCTGAAAGATTTTCTCAAATATACATGTGAGGGTAAGGGCGGCTAAAATCCTTTCCCCTTCTCCTCATGCCTCCTCTAGCTTTCAGACAGAGGGCAGGGGACTCTGAGTAGGGAACAGTCAGTTCTCCTAAGGTTTCATCTGATTCCTACAGCTTTTATCAGGCAGCAAGTGAAGCATATCCCCTGATGCTGCCCAACTCCTTCGTCCTGCTAGGGCTTCTTCTCTCCACCTGTGAGCACCAGGGCCTGCAGGATGTCAGATAGTGATACAATTCCCTTGACCACATCATTCTCATCCACTACTACAAGTCGGTGAACCTGGCACAGAACAAGAAGAAGGAATGCTTAGTGCCAGCCTCAGTTGGGGTGAGCCCCTCAACCCCTATTCTCCATGCTAAACCCCAACTCTCAAGACTACTTCCCCCAGCTCCTTTAGAGTCACTGGCCTCCCTACCTCTGCTTCCACCAGCCTGTTGATGATGGTCTCTAGAGTTTCATGTAGGTAGCACTTGAGAACACCCTCAAAATAGTGTGATCGATGTTGGAGAGCTTTGGTCACAGACACATCCAGGTTGTTGTAGGTCTTTTCTGCTGCCAGATTCTGGGGAGAGAAAGGAAGGGCTTGCAGGGAAGCAAGGGAACCAGTCCCTAAATCTTGGACACACCCAATCTCACCACAGGGGTTTAGGGCAATTGTCAGCCACGTCCACAAGCCATACACAGATCATTCAATTTATTTTCAAATAGAATTTGAAAGCTTGGAAACTTCTAAGACTCAAGTGACAAAAAAGACTCCTTCTTTTCCCTTTCCACATTCAATATCCCTCCCCTTCCCAATATCCCAACCCCTCCACAATCACTCACGATAACATCAAACTTGGAGTAGATGTCCACCACACGCCCTAGGGGGATAGAGGCAGCTCAGAAAGGAGATCTGGCATCCAAGGCTCCCCCTTCCCCAAAGAATTGCCCCCCCTCCCATGTTGAGCTGAAGGGAAAACAGATTTTCTTCAGCTACCTGACCCCTAAGAGTCTTCCCTCTCCTTTCCTAATCTCACCTTTCTCATCCACCACAGGCAGGGCTGAGACTCGATGCTGTACAAAGATACCCAGAGCCACATATACGGGGGTGGTAGTACGGACCATAGCAATATTGGCATAGGTGCCAATCTGCAACTCTTCCAAAGACTTAGACATGAACTCTGGCTTGGGGAACTCAGTGATCTGAGGAAAGAACCATTAGCTTGACTTTTAAGGCCCCCTAAACCAACCATGGATAACCCTCCAACCCAGTATATAAGAAATAAGAACTGGGTTGAGATCACTTACAAACAATTTGAGGAACTTCAGGATGCGCTTGTGAGTAAGAATGTACAAGGTATTGCCTGATTCTGGGTCAATAACTGGCAGCCTGTGGATCTTGTTTTGAATTAATGAAGAGACAGCATCAAACAAGCTGTGAGAAGGTAAAGAGTAATAATAAGTCCATAATTCTAATGCTGAGTTATATAATTTTGTTAAAGAGTATTTGTAAACAGGGAAAACTGGTGGTTAGGAGAGGTTGATAGCTTAGACCAGACTTGGGGGGAGAGAAGGAGTGAGTGAGTGTATAAGAGAGTGTGAGTGTTAAGAGGAGTATCTTTTTTTGCCCCTCCCTGGATCTTTGGGTGTTTAGGGTTTTAGTTATGCTGATGGCAAGGCTGTTCCCATTTGGATACATGGACAGCAGGAACTCACCTAGCATTTGGAGAAATACAGACAAGTGGCTTAAAGGAGTCCTGTAGGTACACCTCTGAAGGGAAAAGGGACAGTTCACAAAATACTGCCGTGGAAAAAGCATTTCCCACAGGAAACACCCTCATCCCTTCATCCTTTTACAACCCCCAAATTCTCCATATACCTCTCCAGGTTTCTATTTTGTGTTCTTCTAGCTCATAGATCTGTACCTGGAAGCAGAAGCAAAAGAACTTGATCATCTTCCTCTTTATTTCATGGCTTGCATGCAGGAAAATACATGAGAATGAGAAACTCTGGGCAAGGAAAGTGGTTTTAGTGTTTGGGCTAAGGTTCCTTACCAAGGCTGACTTATAGTAGCGATGTAAGATATTGATGAAATCTGTGATAGTCAGCATACCTAAAGGCCAAGACAAGAGCCCTCAGCATTGCTCAAAGCTTCTCTCCCTTCCCAGCATAAGATGCCAATAATATTGTGTTCCAGACTTTTGCTTACCCACAAAACTTTGCTTCTTACTATCCCACAATGGGGCAGCACGTACACCATTAGTTACCAAAGCAAAGAAAGCTTTCTTCACCTGTAGCCAAGACAGTAATAATCATAAAGGGAAATTAGCAGGATACAGGACTGTTAGAAAGAAGAAGGGTTGGTATTCTGGAGAAAACAAGAAACTAATTCCATAGAAGGAAAAGACCATTACCCTTAAGATGAGACAGGATAAGAGGTATTGAACCAGAGGTTCCAAGGAAGGGGGAAGGGAAAAGAAGATTCCACCCACCTGCAAGGAAGTATCAAATACAACCAATTTGGAGCTTGTGGGAATCAGGTCATAGCAGCGATGAGACTTCATGAAGGAAGTATACACGCTATTGTTCGATTCCGGGGTCTCTGCATAGGGTGGGACAGTTAATAGCTTTCTTCCATACAATAACCCCCCATTAAAAGAGACAATAAACAAAACAGTGTTTTAGTTTCTCAAATAGAGAATTTAAAAAAAAAAATAAGGTTCCCTATTCTGTTTTGTTCTGTTGTTCCTAGAAAACCTAGATGAACCCCTTAAAAACTGTTTTATCCAACTCCTAACCCCAGATAAGACTATATTGGCTCTTTTGGTAAAAGAAGGATGATTAAAACAAAGTCTATAATATCTTTCATTAACTTTTTCTAGTCTAAAAGTTTTTTCTCATCTTTAATTCAAAAATTTCCTTCTATTTATTTAGCACACTTTCACTTATCTTTTCTCAGTAAAGATGAAATACCAAGGGGCTGAAGTTGTGGCTCAGTGGCAGAGCACTCGCCTAGCACAGGTGGGGCACTGGGTTCAATCCTCAGCACCACATAAAAATAAATAAAGGTATTGTGTTCACCTACAACTAAAATAAATAAATAAATAAATGATAAAATACTAAGTAAGCTTTTTAAAATTCTTCTCTAAGAGGCTGAGGTTGTAGCTCAGTGGCACAACACTTCCTTAGCACCACATAAAAATAAATAGACATTCTGTCTACCTACAACTACAAAAAAAATTCTTCCAAGACCTGCAGATGGCAGAGTCATGGTGTAAGTTGGGCCGCTTCTCAGCAACACTAAGTTGGAGCCCAGTGCTCAATCATCCTGAGAGTTCATTATGGGATCATTCTGGAATCAGAGATCATATCACCTACTCTAGACAAATAGGAGAGTCTGGCTAGGCTTACCTCCAATCTTGTGATTATTTTTTTTTTTTTGGAGGGGGGACAGGTACTGGGGATTGAACCCAGGGGCACTTTACAATTAAGTTACCTTCCCAGACCTTTTTTATTTTTAATTTTGAGACAAAGTCTCACTAAGTAGCTTAAGGCCTTACTAAATTGCTAAGGGTGGCCTTGAACTTGAAATCTTCCTGACTCAGTCTCCTGAGTCACTGGGATTAAGGCATGTGCCACGATGCCAGGCTCATTCCTGTGATTTTAATTGCTTGACCAAAACTGGAGAAGCAATCCCTCAAAACAGCAGCCCAAATGTGCTATGTACTAGGCTATGTATACTTAAACATATTACATCACTTAATTCTTTCAACAAATCTGTTAAGTATCCTCATGTTTCAGATGAGAAAACCAGATATGGAAGAATTAAATAAGCCATCAAAGTCACACCATTAGAAAGTGGCAAGAAAGATCTACCTAATCCCAAAGTTCATGCTCATAAAATTCTAAGTCAATTTTGTTTATTTGTAGCTGGGGATTGAATGCTAAAATGTGTTCATACTAAAATGTGCTCTACCATTTTTGGTAACAAAACAAAACAAAAACAGAAATAAATAGGAGATCTGAAAAATCCAGGAGAAGAATTCTCCCAGAATATAATTAAACATCAAGGAAGCTGCTCTACCATTGAACCATACCCATAGCCCCCTCCCACCAGCTTGCTTTTCAATATTTAATTTTTCACCAAAGTTACACAGGCACACAGTTTGAAGAGTTAAATAGTTTTGCTAATTTTATTACGAAAAACTGCTGTACCAGGCACCCACCTCCCTGAACCACCCCTCCTCAGATATTTATCTCTTTTAGCTGATTATTTTGGTAATTATTTCTATGTCCTTAAATTATATACTTATATTGCTACTTTCTGATTTTTCATTTTTGATCTTTATCTACTATCTTTCTAACAAGTAAGATGAGGATTTTTAGTTTTTTGTTTTTGTTTTTTTTCCCTACCGGTACTCCATCACAAACATGTGCCTTCCACCTCAATTCTTCCAGGAGTTAAACTCTAATGTTGGTTACATTAGTACTTAAGCCATTTTGGCTAAATATGCATTATCAGAACTAAACCAAAAAGTAAACTCTGATTTTTCTTTTACAACTTTGTTTTCCCTGGAGTTAACAATGGTTTTATACTTGTTAATTTTCTATATAAGTACTTATAATTCAACCCCCAAACTCTTCACAAATTATTAAAATCTCCTTTCAAAAAATTCAGAAGCATGAGATAACTTATCAATTTAAATTATCTAAAGAAGTCTCTCTGGAGTCTTCTGACCTGCTCAAATCTGGACTGGTTTGCCTGGTGTATACTGCTGCCATCCTGGGATCTTCCTTCCGTCACCACCCAGGGGGCCCTTTTACATCTCTCCTCTATTGGTACTCCTGTTTCCTGTATTTCATGTTTTCATCTTTTTTGATTACTCCCTTGTTTTGGTGGAGCACATCTTCGAGTAGCTTCCTGAGAAAGGGTGCATGGGAGGTAAATGTTTTGAGACCTTGCAGTCTGTTGATATCTTTATTCTACCCTCATCCTTCCTTGGTTTATAATTTGGGTGGATATGGAGTTTATTTTCCTGAAGAATATTGAAGGCATTGCTCCATTTCCTGTTAGCTGCTAGTATTGTTGAGAGTCCCAGGTAATTCTGATTCTTTGTATATTACTTGCTTTTTCTTCTCTGGAAACTCACAGGATCTTCTGTTTTCAGTGTTTTTGAAGTCTCATGATGACTGTGTTTCAGCAGGGTTCATCCACTATGCTAAATGTTCAATGAGTTATTTAGTTTGAAAACTAATTTTTCAGTTCCCAGAAATATTCTTGAATTTTTTTGTTTTCTTTCTTTCTGTGTTGTCATTTTCCCTTTTAAGTCCCATTATTTAGATATTGGACCATCTACACTGATCCTCTCAGGTCTGTCTGGGTTTTTGTTTGCTTTTGTGACTTATTGGGTTTTTTTTTTTTTATCTTTTTGTAGTTGTAGATGGACAGAATGCCTTTATTTTATTTGCTATGTGGTGCTAAGAATCAAACCCAGTGCCTCACATATGCTACACAAGTGCTCTGACAGTGAACCACGTCCCAGCCCCCGACTTCTTGTTTTTAAAATATCTTCTCTCCTATTTTCTGCTTCCTTGATTTATTTTGCAGTGCTGGGGATTGAACCTAGGGCTTTGCCCAGGTTAAGCAAGTGCTCTACCACTGAACTACATCCCTAGCCCAGCTTCCTTGATGTTTAACTATATTCTGGGAGAATTCTTCTCCTGGATTTTTCAGATCTCCTATTTATTTCTGTTTTTGTTTTGTTTTGTTACCAGCAAGTGAATCCAGGGGTACTTAACCACTGAGCCACATCCCAAGCCCTTTCTATTTTTAATTTCTTTTTAGGTACTGGGAATTGAACTCAGGGCACCAGACCACTGAGCCATATCCCCAGCCCTATTTTGTATTTTATTTAAAGAGAGGGTCTCACTAAGTTGCTTAGTGCCTTGCCATTTCTGATGCTGGCTTTGAACTCATGATCCTCCTGCTTCAGATTCCCAAGCCGTTGGGATTACAAGCATGCACCACTATGCCCAGCTTTATTTTTTGAGACAAGGCCTCACAAATTGCCGAAGCTGGATTTGAACTTGTGATTCCCCTGCCTCACCAGGGCTTTATGTATGTGAGGCAAGCACTCTACCAATTGAGCTATATCCCCAGCCCCCCGAAAAGTTTTTGTTTGTTTGTTTCTGTGGTGCTGGGGATTGAACCCAGGGCCTTCTACATTCGAAGCAGGCACTCTACCAACTGGCTATATCCCCAACCCCTGTATTTGTTTTTAAGTTTTGATTGATTTCCAAGGGCTCCATTTTTGTTTTCTGAAAATTCCTTTTTTAAAAAAATAAAAACATATCTTATACTTGTTTCCTGATAGAAATATGTTCATCGAGCCTAATATTATTATTAAAGTTTTCTACTCTGTGTATTGACTTTTTCTGCAGTTGCTTTTTTTTTTCTTTTTGTTTCCATATGTGAGGTGGCAAGTAATCATTTGTATCACTTTTTTCACTTCCTTTAGATGTTTGGTAGTTCTTGGTTTAATTTTATTAATTCATTCACCCATTCATTTATTCAGGGGCACTCTACCACTGAGCTACACTCTCAGCCTTTTCTTGAGATAGGGTCTCCTTAAGATGCCTAGGTTGATCTCCAACTTGTAATTCTTCTGCTACATCCTCTTGAGTTGCTGGATATTATGGTTTGGATATTAGGTGTCCCCCAAAGGCTCATATGTGAGACAATACAGGAAGGTTTAGAGGCAAAATGACTGGGAGACCCTTTAACTCAATCAGTACCTTAATTCCAACAGTGAGTGTAGGCAGGTAGGGTATGGCTGGAGAAGGTGGATCATGGGGGGGATAGAAGGGGGGGCACGTGTCTTTAGTATCTATTTTGTGAGCTCAGCTTCATCGCTCTGCTTCCTGGTGCCATGTCCCCAGCTGCTTTCCTATGCTACACACTTCCTCAGCTGCTTTCCTATGCTACACACTTCCACCGTGATGTTCTGCCTCATCTCTAGTCTTCAGGAACAGAGTCAGCCAGCCATCTATGGACTGAGACCTCTGAAACTATGAGTCCCAAAATAAACTCTTCCTTCTCTATTTGTTCTTGTCAGGTCTTTTGGTTACAGCAGCAAAAAAGATGACTGAAACACTGGGATTGTAGGCATGTACCACTGGGCCTGGCTTGGCTAGTAACTCTTGGTTTAAAAGAGTATTCAAATCCTATTGTTCCCCCCTCCCTGCCAAAATCACACACACACACACACACACACACACAAACATTTGCGGGAGGTCCAGATTATATTATAAGAGGGGAGGATTAAAAACTGATTGGGTGCTCTAAGTGTGTGAGTAAGCCTTCTGTGAGCCATTTAAATAGAGAACATTCAATACTTACATTTTTGGGGCATTCCCCTCAAGGGGACTCTGGAGAGAAGAACTATTCAATTTCAAGCTTGGAGGGTGAAGTCTTTCAGTATTCTAGAAGCTGAATCTCCAGGGGAAAGAGGGCTGAAGGGTCAGTACCTGGGGCAGTTCACTTTAGGCTCCAGTTTTCAGTATAGTACCTCCGCCCTCAACTGTGCCTCAGTCTCTCTCTTGATGCCCAGTTTTGGCCAAAGTGGGGAGGGGGAGTTGTCCAACCATATTCAATAGGTAGACTCTTGGGATCTATTTTCTCATTTTCAGTTTTCTCAGATAAGCCAAGTTACTCAACATTCTTCCATCTACTTTCCAGCTTCCAAGAATTCATTGCTATTATCTTCTCTCCTGTTCTGATAGTTTGTACCTTTTTAAAAAAATTCCTTTATAATGGTTTTAGGGGGTTTTGTGAAGAATATATATATCCAATCTACCATCTTTAACTGGAAGCTATACATTGTTTTTCAAACATGAAAATTCACAAACACCTAAGAAATACCTTTAGATACTAGTTGAAAATACACTACATCAACAATTAAAACACTACCATTTTAAGCCACAGGCCCCTATACATATTGAATTTGGCTTTCCTAGTGTTTTAAAAAAGTAATTTGTATTTGCTCAACTTTAAAAACCTGGAGATTTACATAAAAATGCTAATTCCGAGTTTCTTTCCAATATCAAAAAGATCTGGGGGACAGAGATATAGCTCAGTGGGTAGAGTGCTTCCCTCACATGCACAAGGCTCTGGGTTCAATTCTCAGCACCACAAAAAAAAAAAAAAAATCTGGCCAAAATAGGTAGATAGTCATAGTGGCGCATACCTGCAATTCCAGTGGCTCGAGAGGCTAAGGCAGGAGGATCTTGAGTTTAAAGCCAGCCTCAGCAAAAGCAAGGCAATAAGCAACTCAGTGAGACCATGACCATGTCTTTAAATAAAATAAGATTTAACTGGAAGCTACCCATTGTTTTTCAAACATGAGATTAGATTAGAATAAATCAATTAAAAATAAAAAAGATTTATAGATTGTTCCAGTCATATTTCTGTTTTACTGCTAGGTTCATGTAGATAATCCAGTTTCTAACTCCTGCCTTGGTGCTACTGAGAATATACTCAGACAGATACCATGTGAAAATGCTCAATTATGAAGAGTTATTCAGATAATCCAAAAATAAAATGAAAACAAAAAATGTTTAATTTTTTTTTCAGTGGTGGTACTGAGAATCAAACCCAGGGCTTTGCACATGCTAGGTAAGTACTCTACCACTGAACTACTTCCCTAGCCTAAAAAAATTTTAAATTCTTGTCAAGAATTCAAAGACCCTTAGGATCACAATATGACACTATATTGCCTCTTGGAATCTGTACTCAGCTCCTATTTAATCCTCTGGAAAAGTGTGTACCCCCAATGCCATAAACACAGCCTGTGGAGACCTAAGAATGTTCCTGGGAAAAATCGTTTACTAGAGATGTCTATCAATTGTGCCTCTTTCTAGATGGTCTAGAGTTGGAACATTCCATTTTTAAAAGGTATTTGGAAATGCACTGGAATTGTCTTCTCCTTTACTCTGGATTTTAAAGGCATAGTACTTCTACTTCCAGATAAATTCTAAGGACTTTTGAAGTTTTTCCATAATTTCTTTTGTACACTTAAAGGCTTTGTGAACTTGCTGGGTGATAAAATCCTCACGGCACTGTTTTTGGACTACTCAAAAAATACCAGAGATTTCAAAAGCATGGCTAGCCAGCTGAGTTGCCTACTGGGAATGTACTCAGACAGATACTATGTGAAAATGCTCAATTATCTCAGAAGTTATTCCCAAGTGGCTTAATAATTGAAGGTATTAATCCTCTCCACCCTATCCAAGATTTATTCCTGGGTGATCCTGCCAAATGACTATTCCTGATTTGAGTGGCTTGGCACATTATCTGGATCAGTTTTGATTTTTCCAGGGGAAACACTAGAAGATGCAAAACCATTGTGAAGATAAGTTAGGGTCAAGCTATGGTTTTTGTGTTCAGTCTCCTTTGTTCACTTTATCGCACAGTATACTTACCTTGAGGATGCTCATTTTCCAGAGCAGGGGAGCTATCTGAAGTAACCTGGAAAGATAAGAGAAACACAGATGCAACTTAACCTAGGCTCCATCCATTTTAACCTAGCAACATTAGGAAAAAGGCTTGTAAACTAATGATTTCCTTTAAAACACTCTAAGACCCTTCATAAATATTATTTTACTTAATTTTCATAACAACCCTAAGGTGAATACTATTATTATCCTATTTTCACAGATTAGGAAACTGAGAGTCAAGAGACATTAAACAACCCATCAAAGGTCATCTGGTTGGTAAGGGGTAGAGACTTGAACAAATCATCTGTCTGGTTTGAAAGTTCATGTTCTTATTTGCTACCCTGCCTATGAGACATTAGGTCTTAAAAGTTTTTTGTTTTTTTTTTAAACATTTCCTTAGTTGTAGATGAACACAATACCTTTGTTTTATTTTATTTTTTATTTTTTTTAAAGAGAGAGAGAATTTTTTTAATATTTATTTTTTAGTTTTTGGTGGATACAACATCTTTATTTTATTTTTATATGGTGCTGAGGATCAAACCCAGTGCCCCCCACATGTGAAGCGAGCACTCTACCACTGAGCTACAACCCTAGCCCTAGGTCTTAAAAAATTAAGACTAAAAAATATGGACTTAGGACAGGCCTCACAGGATTCTCACAGATCGACTTTATTAAAATATAGATGCTGGGCTGGGGTTGTGGCTCAGTGGTAGAGCGCCTATCTAGCATACGGGAGGCACTGAGTTCGATTTTCAGACCACATGTAAATAAATGAATACAATAAAAGTCCATCAACAACTAAAAAAAATATTTTAAAAAATAGATGCTGCTGGGGACTGGGGTTGTGGCTCAGTGGTAGAGCGCTTGCCTAGCATGCATGAGGCACTGGGTTCGATTCTCAGCAAGCACTACATACAAATAAATAAAAATAAAGGTCCATCAACAACAACAAAAAAATATTAAATAAATAAATAAATATAAAATAAAATAGATGCTGCTGGGCACAATGACGCATGCCTGGAATCCCAGCTACTCAGGAGGCTGAGTCAGGATGATCACAGGTTTGAGGCCAAACTAGGTAACTTAGTGAGACTATGTCTCAAGATAAAATAAAAAGGGCTGGGGGTGCAGCTAAGTGGTACAGTGCTTGCCTAGCATGTAGGAGGCCCTGGGTTCAATCCTAGTATCTCAAACAAATAAAAACAAACAAAGACAAAACAAAAACATGGATGCCAGAGAGATAATGATATTAAGCATAGTTGTGGGCACTGGAATCACAGACATACCCCTTACCACTGACAGAGGGCCATGTCTGGGGAGATCCTCATAGTTGTCAGTAAGACAGCCAAAGCCTGAATAACTGAGGAGTAGATGAGGAATATCAATGTATAAAACTGAAGACTTGAGTCCTCTCAGCACCCTGTGAGTCAAAGGGGATGCTGGATTTCCAAGTTTCATTTCCCATTGTCTAGTCTCAGATTAGACAAACAAACCTTCAGAACCATCTCTGTGCTCCCCCAAGTGGGGATGTTTGGGAATTTCATTGTTATGTAGGAACTCAGGAGGGATTCTGAAAATCAACTGGCATCAATAATTTTGGATCCACCTGTTTTGGGTAATATCCCCAAACAAACTTAAGGCCATACTTTACATCCATAATTTCTGTAGTAACATGAAGTTAAAGACTTTGGCTTGAACCTTGGAAGCTGGCTGGCAAACAGGGTCAAGTTGGCAGAGCAACCCTAACTTCCCCCCTGAAATGTGCTGAGGGTTGGGGGAGGGGAGAGAATAAACTCCCTCACTTCTCTTTGGGCTTGGTCTGGGCATTTTGGGCAGGGCTATCGGAACAACAGCCTCATCATTTAAAAGTGGAGAGAGCTGTTCTGTAGCAAAGATACATACATCATATACACAGCCTCACAAAGGTCTATACAAAGGTACAGAAACAGCTACTCATATAAATTACCACACCCATCATATGATACCTACACACCGCACTGTGTTACAGTTATTTTTTTCATTATCTATTTAAACAGATTATAAATTCCTGGAAGCCTACAACTAGCTTATACTTTGTATCCCCCATCACTTAACATGGTGTACTGTATATCATTCACAATTTTTAAAAATTCTCTAGTAATAATTAGACCTAAGACTAAGTTATATATAGAGAGAAGAGACATACATCTTATTTGAAATATAGATAACAATATAAAAGAGTAAGACAATTGAACATATGACCTTATCTTTCTGCCTGTTTCTCCACACAAGAGGGGAATTTACTCCTTTCTATTTTTAATAATGTGAGGAACTGATAAGATACCCCTGTATTCCACAAGTAGTACAATATATTACAGACACAGTTTAGATCTGACACACAGACAACAAATTCTTTAAACTTCTTATCCACATTTCCAACTGACTTGACAACAACACATGTCACAAAGACTACTAAAAATGCTTCAATACAAAACAGAATATTTATCTGTTCAATCCTCTTAAGTCTTACTGGGATTGGTTATCTTCCCAAGTACCTAGAACTGTAGTTGATTTCCCTACTTTCTGTAACATGCAGAACTCAAGGTGCTAAGCTACTATGTTAGAAATGCCTAATATCATGCCAGATGCAGAGGCATAAGCTTGTAATCCCAGCTACTTAGGAGGCCGAGGCCGGAGGTTCACAAGTTCAAGACCAGTCCCAGCATTTAGTGAGACTGTCTTGGGGGGGGGGGGGGAAAGCCTTATATCCATCTCTCTTACACTTTTATAGTCTTAAGCTTTTACCTCTCCCTTCTGCAACAGTCTCTAAATTTGTTTCCTTGCCCTCAATCTATCTCCTCTTTGATTCATCTTCTATGCTTTCACCAAGTTCTCTCACCAATGCATCTCTAGTTTGAGAGGAATTTTCATCTCCAGAAATCAGAAACTCATTACTTTCTGTAGTGGGTCCATCCATTGACAGAAAGCTGTTAAGAACATTCCCTGCAAAGCACACTTATCCCTGGTTCAGACATCTTCCACAGGTCCCTTAATTATAAAGCAAAATTCAAACCTAGAACAATATGCAATACCTTCAACCTGATTTTAGCCTACTCTTTTAGTCTTTTCTCATACTGTGTCAAAAAATTCAAAGCTCCAGCAACATCAAACCAACTATCTCACTCCTATTTATTCTTTGTGTACCCAATTTTTATGTCCTTGCTCAATTTTAATGCTCATTGCTAAGTCCAGTGTAATTTCTTCCTCCTCTACACTTGTACAGTTCTTACTTTATGTCTCGATGATGGAACACTCTATCTTAATAGCTGTTTCAGGTTTGCCCTCACCCTCACTTCAGTTAGGTCAAGGACTTTCAAAGCAAGAATTTTCTTTTTCTTCTTTTTAAAAACAATCTCTACACCTAGAACCCAATCTGGTACATAAAACATGAGGGCTAAATTAGAAAATGCTTTGTAAACCATAATACATTACCAGTAAATTAAAAATGATACATCATTTTGAATTAAGTGGAATCAAACTATTGTTGCTCAAAATTCTCTTACTCTAGAAACTGACTCCCTTACCTGCATTTCACTTTACCACTTTGTTTTCTTCTTTAGAATCTAAGGAACACCACCTCTCTGCAAGCAGAGAAACGGTGTGGCAAAGAATTACTCAGGGCAAATAACTAACTGATCCAAAGAAAAGTGAACCTGCAATCCTTCCACAACAGTAGCGGATGATTAAAAACCAAGCTGAGAAGAATTACTCTGACAGAGTAACTGGGGAGCAGGAAGTAAATGGGGGGGGGGGGTTCCTAGAGTCCTGGAGAAAGAATCCCCAGAGTGAGGTGGGTCCAAACATGGAGCAGGTAACCTGCAACATCCGTGGGACAGGGATAGGGACCTGTCACAATTGGTCTTTCGCCTGCTCATCAAGAATGAACTATGAAAACACTCCTGCTTGGGTCGCAAAGCAGGACGTCAATGACCTAAGCTTGTCCAAGGGACAAGACCGCCTATAACACTGAAAGATTTCTTCCTTCAAGAAAACCTCAATTCTCAGTCAATAAGGGAATGGAACCTCGCTGGATGCAGTACAAAAGTCTTTCAGATCTCCCTCCAGCTAGAGATTGTAGGAATCAGTCAATCGGGTTCCAAGAACTATCTGCAAGCACGGGTCACCCATCAGTAAAGCCAGATCATAACCCTGCTCTCTCATGTACACTTCTGAAAGGGCTTGAGTTGCTATGAGGAAAGAGGCCTGAGAGCCATAGGGTACGTGGGCTCCAAGGAAGGAAGCCAGGAAAGTTCCCGCCCGCTCCGGCCAAGGGTACCGCGGACTGACGGAAGGCAGGCAAGGGCGGGGCCCCGTCTTAGGAAATACGCCCAGCGAAGGAGCAGAGGGGCAGGGTCACGCAACAGGACAGCCACCGGCTACTTCTTGTTTGCCAGACACCAGCGCCAGGCCCTGCCCGTCTCCTAAACTAGGGGGTCTCAGGCTCCATAGCGCCCCCCGGCCGCCCTCCTGCGCTCCTCACCGTCTCCATCGCAAGGGGCACCGGCCTTATCCTTTCACTTTAGGAAGCTCGCTCAGGGCACGCCCCGCCCCATGTCCGGTGCTGCGACGCCACTTCCGCCTACGTCACGGCAGAACGTACGCACAGACGGGAGGAGTCCCCCCTTCCGGGGGTGGCCTTGCCTGGATAACCGCCCTCCCCCGGGTCCTCGCGGACCTCACGTATCCGGTTGACGGCGAGGGTCACGGAACGGAGCCGCTTATATTTAAAATGTTCTTTTTTTATTTGTCGTTTAAAAACAAACTTGGAAGAAGCAAAATCCAAAACTTGCCCTTTGCCTCTCGCAACATAAATTATGTACAGTTCAGAATGATCGCTGATACAAAACATGCCAAGGACAGGGGCGCTGGGGGTGGAGGGAGAGAGGGCGCTTTAAAAAAAAGGGAACCATTTCATCCGTTGTTACGAAGGACCAACCTTGCTGTACAGGATACACACAACACAAAATAAAGTCTTCACGGGATTCACACTTGTCAGCGATTTATTTTTTTTTAAAAAGGGGGAGGGTCCTGGAGGTGAGGGTAGAAGGCGGTACAGGGGAAAAACTGAAAATTGAGTATGTGCAAGTGTAAACCAACCCAAAATACAAACGGGGGGAGTGGGGTGGGGAGGGAATTGTGATGCAATTATACAGGCAGGGTACTTAAAAAAACCAACAACCAAAATTCCAACCTTGCAGCTTGGGTCTGAGTTATAGTTTATATAAAAATTAAAAACTGTATAAGGATTCTTCACTAAATTCTACAGGACTATCGGATACCTAGCATATGCTTACAAAGTCTGCCCCATCCCCTTTGCCCAATCTTAAGGCCCAAGCCCTGACCAGAGTTTGACTGCAGCCAATCTCCCCGTCCCAGTGGCCTAGACCTTTTTGATCTCAGAAAGAGAGACCAAGGGCTGTGGCTCTAGGGGCAGCAGCCCAGTCTCCCCACTGCCTGATCTAATTACAGTGATTCCTGTGGGAGTCGGGGGTGTTATTCTCTTAAACATTTGCAGCTTGAAACAGTTGAGGAAGCAGCTTTAAAAAAAAAAAAAAAAAAAGAAAAGAAAAAAAGAAAAGAAAGAAATCTCCCTACCCCCATCAATCCACAACCCCCCAAATTCAAAACAAAACAAAAACAAACCTAAAATCACAACAGCGACCATGCTCCCCCTCCAGCAGGCCTGCCCATCTGCCACCACCAAGCCCACCCCTACACTCCAGACATCTGATTCTTGAAAATATTAATTACAAAATGCCCTTTGCCCACAGCCCCTAGGAGAGAACTGCATATAAGTTTTATCTTCATTCCAAGGCTCCCTACCAGAGAGGGGTCTGGGGCTTCACCTACCCCCTACCTACCCCTACCCCCAGGAAGAGGTTCAACTGCAGCACAAGCTTGGGCAGAAAGGGGAAGGAAAGGGGGCAGGGAACCCATCACCCTCTGGCTCCCCCTGGGGCCAGCTCACTTTTGTGCGTTATAATAGTCCAACTATACAATGGAGAGGGAGGCGGCCCAGCCTCTCTCTATACCCTCACCTTACAGCAGTCACAGCCAGGGGGTGGGAAGGGGGGGTGAGGAAAAGGGCGGTAGGTTGGGTAATGGAGTGGGCCCCCCCACAAGGGGAGCTCCATGTGTCCGCCCCACACCCCCCTACCATTTATAAACTGGTTTTGTAAAAAGAAAATAGATATATTTATATAGAATATATAAAGCACAAAAATTAGTAGTTTTACATTTGCTCTCCCCGGGGGTGGGGGGAGAGGGGAGGGTTCTCACCTCCAGCCGGCTCCCCCATGCCCCACAAGACTATGTACAATCCCATGTATAAATAGATAAATACCCCCCACCCTCCCCGCGCTGACACTAAGCTCCCCACCCCCACATCACCACCCCTTCCCACCAGACCAGCAGCAGTTTGGTGACTGAGGGAAAGTGGGAGCTCCGGGCCACACCCTGCCTCACTGGGTATGGGCATGCCACTCAGGGATAGCCCTCACCCTGCCCCCCACCCACCCATCCAGGGGCTGGAGGGCAAATGGGCTCATGATGAGGTTAGGAAAACAGGAGGGAGATATCCTGGTCCTAGGTTTAGCACACCCCTCCTGCCCCATGTCCAGATGGAGAAGGAAGTCCTAGAGCAACTAGGGGCCAGTCATCCCCAATCTTCATCACCATTTGCCTCAACCACCATCCCATGCCCATAATTAAAAACAAAGATGGATTTTTTGTTGTTGTTTTTCTTCCTCCTCCTACCCCCTTTCCACCCACTCAGAAGAGGGCAGTGAGGTGGGGGAGAGGGTTGGGGCAGTAGGGGCTTGGAGAGGGTCTCACATTTCAAAACAGCAAAAAATCCAACACTTAAATGAGGTAGGTGTGGGTGCGGGGTCTCCTTGCCCGGCTTGCCCAGCTTGCCCTCCTGGGAAGCTGGGCGCCTCTTTCCCGTTCATGTTGCATTTGTCAGAGTGGAAAACAAGGAAACACAACCCATAGAGAGACAGAAACACAGAGGAAAGAGGGAGACAGAGACAGATAAGAGAGGGAAGGAGTTGGGGGTGAGGGTGGGGGCAGGACCCGGCAGGCAGGGCCAGGTGTGGGACCCGGCCTTTGGGATTGTCAAGCTTAGTCAAGTCTCTTTGCAGCCTTGAGTTGGGCCGGAGAGGTCAGTGGGAGCAGCAGGGCTGTGAGGCCCGGCCACACATCCTCCTCCCCGCTCCCTGCTGCCTCCCAGATGCTTCTGGGTAGTTCCCGGCCCATATCCCCCTCAAACCTGAGATGCCCAATGGCTGCTTCTGTCTGGCCCCTCCTGGAGCTGGGGGCAGAGATGCCAGCCTGAGGGTCAGTGGCGGGGAAGAGGGTTGTCCCTGGTGCCCAGGGTGGGCGTGGCCTAAGGGGCCCTCTGCCCCAGCCTCTTGCTCCAGGGGCTCCGGTCAGTCGGCAGCCCCTGCCCTGGGTCCTGGCTCTGGCTGCTACCTCTCTTCCCCCTCATCCCTTTCAGGGAAGAGGTTGGGGGTGGGGAGACTCCCCTGCCTGGTAGCCTCAAAGCTTCTTAGTTCATCCATTTTCGACAATTCCAGGCTCCACAGTGACAGGGGATCTTGTGCTGATCATCCTCAAAATCAAACTGATAGTCATAGGTTAGCTGGAAAGAGAAAAAGGCAAAATCAAAATTTACTCCCCAGAGGAAGGGGATGCTGGCTGAGATCTGATCTGTGGGTCACGGCCTTGAAACCCAGCTCCTAAGGAATAGCAGAGAAGGGGAAGAGAGGGAGGAGCTGCTTTATCACTCACTTAGGATGCTTCCTCTCACCTCCTCTCCTTTGGGGATTCGCCGGCTAGAGATGATAATGATTTTGTCCTCCTTGTCAAATGTCACGACTTCTGCCACACAGTTAGGGGCACAGGAATGGTTAATGTACCTGGGCAGTGGGACAGAGTCAGTGATGCCAGGCAACTGAGTAGAGATAATTTTGGTTCATTGTTGACCTATGCTCAGAGGGTCACCTCCAAAGACCCCTAAATCCCTCCTTCATCTCTCACCTGGCAGGGCCTCCAGTCAACGTAGCATCAATGACATGTTCATTGTTTATTCGGAACATGTAGATGCCTCGATTCTAAGAAAGACAAAGGTTGCAGAAGGGACAAGATTATCATATAGTAGACTCAGGCTGTGGGTTTATCTACCATGTTCCTCCTCATTTCTCCTGCCTTTCTCCTTTCCCCCATAAACTTTCTACCTCCCCTCCTATACCTAAACCTCTCATACCTAAACCTGCCCCCTGTTCCTTGACTGAGTGTGGACTGTCTACCATAAAGTCCCCTCAACTCAGCCCATACCTGCTCTTCATATATTTTCTCCCGCCGGTTGGCCACCTCATTGCGAATGATGGTGCCAATGTACTCGATGACCATAGTGTGCTTTTCTAGATCCTTGGCTGCATAGAGCCCCAGGCCCTGGATACGGGAGCGAGCCAGATACACATTGTTCTTCCACTCGGTGCGCAGGCGCCGGTACTGAGATGACTTCGAGTGCACAAACTGCTTGCTGTATGGTGTGTTGGTTTCGCCTGTGAAGGTGCTCTGATATGCCTTAGACATGCTGGTGCTGTTCAGGGTATGGGGCCTGGGAGGTGATATAGTCCATGACAAGACAGCTCTCCTACAGACCAAGTACACACCACCCACCTCCTCCCTGGGATGTGCAACACACTGTTAGGATGTGTGGTGCTGGCAAGTGCTGCCTGGGAGTGGGGTGGAGGCACCTGGATCTCAATTATAGAGAGGCAACAACTAGCTAAGAGGACCCTTCTGACACCCTAGATGGCACAAACTGCCCAAGACAAGGGATGGGGATGGAAGGAGAGGGGCACCAATTCCCCTACACTGAGCCTGCTCTCCTATCTCTTCTCTTGCTACCACCCTCTTGCAAAGGCCAGGCTCCTCTAGGAGTCCCCAAGCAGTCCAGGCCTAGAATGTAAACTAATAGTTTGCTCAGATTCTTGAGTTCTACCTCCTGCACATGCTGGAGCCATGTCTACCACATGGGGTGGATGTGGGTGGGATTTTAATTAAAATTGGCTGTAAATTTGCAGCCTAAAGGTGATATCCTTGCTTTTCTTCAGACTGTCCCATTCTCTGACATAGCATTTGGCTCTGTACAGATGGCTCAGTGCAGGGGAATGACTGCTACCTGGCAGGATGCCTTTTCACCACCCTAGGACACCAGCCAAATTCTTGCCCATCCCAGAGCAGTGGTTTTCAAACATTTGGGTTGTTTTTGGTTTTTGTTTCATTGGCAGAATTTTTTCTTTAACAAAATGTTGACTAACTCCAATCTAAAAAGTTGGTGAGGATGTAACTCTTCTGGTTGAATGCAATTTGGGGAAGGTGAAATTATGCACAGCAAGTGCCAAGTTCTTCTGCCCATCAGATTATGTGTTCCATAGCATTCGGCAACATATACACTCATAGTTTGAAAACCACTGTTGTAGAGCATCAAGGACCAGGGCTGACTAGGGGTAGACTCTGACGCTCTATGACAGCCTAGGAGTCACCAAAGGCCTTTAAGAAATCCCTGCTATCATGGATTCTGCCTCCCTCTACCCAAGGACCAAGGTCAGGCTACTGTGATACACAGAAAGAATAGTGACACAAGTCAAGACGTAAGGGTCTGGTCCCACTTGTATGACCTTTATCCAGTCATGTAGTCTTTCTGGGCCTCAGTTTTCTCAGCTGTAAAATGGGGGTCATACCACCTGCCCTACCTACCTCATAAGGTTGTTGTGAGGATCAAATGAGATAATGGATGTGAAAACGCTTTGAAAAAAAAAGTATAAAGTGCTATACAAATGTAAGGTTTTATTATTTTTCTATTATATTTCTAATTATTTTTGACACCAACTCAACCTTGGGAAGGGAAGGTGACCCTAGCATTCATGGGGTGCCTGAGATTTTGGAGAATCACAGGCCCCCCTGGATGCAAAAGAGGAAAAGGAAGAAGTGACAAAGTCCCTTATATATTTCATAATATTTCACCACTATCTACCCAGAACCTCCCCAGCAGCCATTCCCAGGGTACCCAAGATGACAATTCAACCAAGAATATCTGAACAGATTGGTGGGGAGGAAAGGGATACCCTAGTAATAGTTATGCATCCTTTAATCAGGATGTCTAAGAGTGAATCCCAGTTTCTCCAAGGGAACCCTGATCTTCATCCCAAACTCTCATAATGTGGCCAGAGACTCTCTACCAACACCCACACCCATAGCCCATGGCCCATGGCCCCAGCCCCACAAGCTCACCGTTTGTAGTGTGTGAGGATTTTAGGCTCCGATCGGGCACAGCCAGTGGGGTTGATCATGAGTGGCAGCTCCATCAGGGGGTGGCGCCCATAGCGGAATAAATAGTTTTGACAGCTCTCCACCCCAGGCAGCTGTGGGCATAGGTAGTCTTTGCCTTAACCTGAGATCCTTTGCAGCAGGGTCAATGTTCTCAGTGCCACAGTCCCCCAGCTCCCAGCCCCTTGCTTACTGATTCAGCTATGCGAAGCACGGCATGCACCGTCAGCCCAAAGAGCTCCTCGCCTTTTAGGTACTCAGGGAAGAGTCGCAGCATGTCAGCTTCTTTTCTCATGGCAGCCACTGGCTCGATGATGCGATTCCACACAGCTAGAAGGTAGAGAAAGAAGAGCAGCCCTCAGAGGAAAGCTCTGCTGACTGACCTTCAGTCCTTAACCCCACTCCTGAGCCTCAGATATTTTCTGTGGCCTTCACACCTTCCTGTTATGAAGGTGTGTGAATCTTTAGGATCCTCTCCTGGCTTCCTAGTAACACTTTCTCTTAAGAAACCAACAGGGACTGGAAATATAGTTCAGTGGTACAGTGCTTGCCTTGAATGCATGAGGCCCTGGATTTGACTCCCCAAAAAAAGGAGCCTCAGGAGCCTATAAAAACAAACAGTTCAGGTTCTAGTGCTCTGGCCATGAGACCTTAAACAAATATGTAAGTTTCTTTGCAAGATTCTTTCTTTCCATCCTTCTTTCTCTTCCTTCTCCTCCCCCCAATCCCTTCCTTCCTTCCTTTTTTTCCTATGGTCTAGGGATCGGAACACAGAGCCTCAAACATGCCAGGCAAATGATCTACCACCAGAACTTCATCCCTAGCCCACAAACCTACTTACCTCATAAGGATGCAGGAGCAAAACAACCTATATAAATCACTTAGTTTGTGGCACACAGTATATACCCAATAAAGGGTAGTACCAGCTCTTATTATTTCATCATTAACACAAAAACAAAAATCAAAATAATTTTATATAGAGAAAAAAAACCAAGGAACTTAGAATCAGGTTGGGTGAACCAAATCATGAGTCTCAGAACTGAATCCTTTAGTTCCATTGAGAATAGGAAAAGGAGCTAGAATATATGAGATTAGAAAAATATTTTCAATTACAAAGGAATTTAAAGTGATTGAAAGAGGATGAAATACTTTCAAGAAACCCCTGTGTGCCTGAGGTGGGGGAGGAACACTCATATGGAGGTTGAAGATCCTCTTATTGACATTGTAAAGTGACCCCTATGAGAAACTTACGCAATTCAATATTACCACTACAAAAGCTTAGTGCTTACCCTGTGGAGAGGCATCAGTGAAGACCAGATCTTCCAGGCCCTGCTCCATGACTTTGATTATAAACTCAGGCCGCCCATTGTTCTCTCCAATGGAGCATCGGTAGCAGCAGCGGCGATTGTTAGTGCGGAGGCTCCAGTAGATGCGTGTGGCCTCATAGCCCACAGGATAGAGGGCAGTGGCACTGTGGAAGTCAGCCATCTGGTGAGGGAGCAGCTGTCCAATGGCATGGAACACAAGGCCCCCTACACGGAACATGTGAAGCCGCTCTCCCCGCTGGATGATGCTAGCAATCTGCTTCACCTCATCCCGTTCAATGTAGACCCGCCGGAAGACAGCAAATGAGCTGAGCTCCTGCTCACAGGGCCCCTTGATCTTATGCATAGGACACAGCATGGTCTTGTCCTTAAAGAACATGCACTTGGCGCGGATGGCACAGGCAAAGTGGTAGACATTGGGGCAACGCATGCGATTACAGCTGCTGGTGGCACCAGTTCGCTGGCACAGGGAGCACTTGGTTAGCAGTCCTCGGTGCAGGGCAACCTCCACATTCATAAGCGCCCCACCCTGGGTCTCATATACTTCCGTGGACCACAGAGCACAGTTGAGGTGTACCCACAGGTCCAGGTCCAGGTTTAGCAAGCGGGCAGGACCATCAGTGGCCCCATCCCCCTCCTCATGACAGAAGCAGCAGCGCCGCATGTCGCGGGGCACCTTGTCAGGCCGCAAGGCTGTGCCAAGTTGTTCCATAAACTCTGCCACTTCCCGCTCATCCTCCTGCCGCCCATTGCCCTTCTGGATGGTCAGAAGCAGCCTCAGCCTCTTCCAGCGCACCCCTTTCCACTTCTTGAGGCGAGGGGAACGGGAATCTTCACCTTCTTCAGGGGGCCGGGCTCGGGGCTTAGGCCGGGCTGATTCGGGGGATGAGGCCAAAGGCAAGGGTGAGGGCATTGGTGGGTCAGCTGAGGGTTCAGTTGCAAGTTCAACCAGGGGTTCAGCAGGAGGGCTGGCAGGGGAGGGTGCCAAGGGGGATGGGGGTGGGGAGGGTTCTTCAGGAGGCGGAGCAGAGAGCTGTCGCACATCCAGATTGGAGACGTTGTAGGTGTAGCTGTGCTGGGTGGCCGGCTCTGGAGCGGGGCTCTCCTACAGGAGAATGCCCTGGATAATTAGTGCCAGCTCCTCCGCTAACTAGCCCTCTCCCTCTTCTCTAAAGCCCTCTGTCTTCTTTGCCTTGGATAGCACCTTTTTCGATGACCACCCCTTTTTCCTTCCCTCTACCCACCTGTTTCAGGAGGCTCAAGATGTCTAGCTGGCTCTTAAGGGTGTAGCCAGGCAACACTGCGTCAAACTGCTTTAGCCAATCAGGGCCAGCATCTGAACTCTTGACGCCCAGACCCTTTTCTTTCCCACCTGTAGGAAAGAAGGAGTCAAGAGTCTCTACCAGAACCTTTTTCCTCTGGTCCCAAGGAACTCTTCTGTCCCACTCACCAGGGCCCTCGGCTTCTCCCTTCTTAGGCTCAATGCTTGCCCTGGCAGGGCTCTCTGGAAACAGCACCTCATAGGAGTTGGGGATCTTCATGCTTAGCAGCTCTGCCACTGCCACCATCACACCATTAAGATTCTGCCACAGAAGAAGAAGGGATGGGAGAGACATGTCAGGAGAGTGTCCTGAAGCATGAGTCCCAGGTGGGTGGGGACAAAGTCAGTGCTGCCTGTTCCACTCTAGCTCTTCTCAAACACCTCAGTTACAGCAGGAGGTATTTCTCAAACTGTTACAGATACTCACAGGGGCTCTGCAAGAAGAGAATATTAACTGAATTTAGGAAGTGATGCCCATTATACTCACAAGCTGGAGATTCATTCACCCTATGTGTGCAAATTAAAGCACCTGAGAGTTCTTGTAGTAAAGAAACTGAGTAATGTTGTTTTAACTCTGTTTTCCTTTTTTTTTTTTTTTCCTATAAAAACCCTGCTAACATTCAAATACAGCAAAGTTCTACCAAATGTGAGTAAGGAAATTATATCTTCTGGCACCTGTAGCATTTGTTGCACAAAACACACTCTATTGGCTTGCCAGTTTTTACTACTAGATGAGGAGCTCTGGTGGACAGAGACTATGCTTCATTCACCCTTTTCTCACAATCTCTAGCCCAGGCTTTCACACATAGCAGATATTAAAAAAAAAAATTTTTTTTAGATGTTAATGGACCTTTATTTTATTCATTTATTTATATGTGGTGCTGAGAATCAAACCCAGTGCCTCACACATGCTCTTAACTCTACCACTGAGCCACAACCCTAGGCCTAGAAGAGATTTTTTTGAATGATCGGATATATTTATCTAGACAAGCAAAGAGACTGCCTTCTTTCTCAGCAAGGTCCTCTTGGCCTCAGAGAACCCGCAGGACACACCTTGGCTGCAGCAGCTGAAACTGTCAGCATGACTGACACCTCACTTCCTTTGCTCTTTTCCCAAGTTGTGGCAGGCAGCTTTCCAGGGACCTCTAAGTCGAGGGTCCCATAAGGTTTGGTATCTGGGAAGACTGAATGAGAAAGGGACATGTATAGAGTTAGTTATCTCCCTCAACCACCCACTCATGCCAGCGCCTGCCAAGCCAGGCCTGACACATCTCCAGCACATACCTGGGATGCTAGCCCGAGGAATGATTGGGATGACAGGAGAGAGGGCTCGGTCATCCTGCTCCCACCGGCCTGAGCCCAGCTGAGGGAAACGAGGGGCCTCCTCCCCCAGGATGCTCTCGGGGGACGATGCCGGCACAATGCTGTCAGGAGAATCACTGTCCTCATCACTCTCCATCCTGTGGGCCAGATGTAGATACCTATTGGTACAGCCCTGGGGACTCTCCCACCCAAATCTAAAAATCTGCCATTGGCCAAAGAAAACTGAAGCAAGCTGTACCCCATTCCATTCTCAATTCCACCCTCACCTGACATCCTCAGTCTGATTGTGGGGGGGTGTGGGCAAGGCAGCCAGCAGGTCTACACTCTTCACCTCTGAAGCATCTGTGGGTAGGGAGAAGAAAAGTCAGGGGTGAGGGTGTCCAGAGTAGACGGTGTTTTCTCCCTGATACTTCATATTCAACTAACATGAAATCTTAGCTTAGTTATGATTAACCATCAAACTCACCTACCAGTTTGGGGCAGAAAAGCTATATTTATTGGGCCTTTCCTATATGGTAGACCCTGGGCTTTAGGTACCCTTTCTTAAAAATACTTTTTTAGTTGTCAATGAACCTTTATTTTTACTTATTTATATGTGAGGCAAGCACCCTACCACTGAGCCATAAACCCAGGCCCAGGTATACTCTCTATTTCATCTTTTTCTTCTTTTTTCCACCAATACCAAGGATTGAACCCAGGCACTTGCATATGTTAGGCAGCAAGTATTCTACCACTGAGCTACACCCCCCAATCCTTTTTTGTTGTTGTTGTTACTAGGGATTAAACCCAGAGGCACTTTGCCACTCAGCCACATCCCAGCCCTTTTATTTGAGATAGGGTCTCACTAAGTTGCTTAGGGCCTTGATAAATTCCTAAGGCTGGCTTGAACTTGTGATCCTCCTGCTTCAGCCTCCCCAGTCACTGGGATTATAGACATGCACCACTGCACCCTGCACCTCTCTAGTCCTTTTAAGCCTCTTATTTTGAGACAGGTCTCTCTAAGCTGCCAAAGTTGGTGTCAAACTTGTGATCCTCTTGTTTAAGCCTCCTGAGTAGCTGCAATTCTCCTCACCTGGCTTTATTTAATCTTAACGACCTGTTAGATGAATGTTCTAATACTCCATTTATAGGAAGGAAATTGAGGCTCCCACAAGGAAATTTGGCTGAAGTAATACAACTAAATAAATGCAGGCACCAGAGTCCAAATCCAGGTTGGGCTAAAGCTCCACACCCAGGAAAGTTGCACTGTTTCTTCTATACAAAAATTCAATCAGACTCTCCCTGCCACCAACCTCCCCTGTTGCCTTTGCTTCAGATTCCAGAAGCCCATCCTTGTCCCTAACAAATCAGTCCTGAAGAGGCCCTTCCTACCAGGCCACCTATCATGTTAAGCACATAGAGCAGTATGTAATCTACTTGTTTTCTTCAATTGTGTGACAGAGCACAATAATAACTGCTTAAACCCCAGCCACAGAATCCCACTGGGAAAGAAAAGTCAGCTCTTCACTTACCCCTCAGTGCTCCTTCAGTGTCCCGGGAAGAGGCTGTGTCCTTGGGGTGCTCCCCCAGCTCTTCAGAAGGAGTGACACCATTTACCATCTTCTGCTGCACCGATGGGGGTGGGGTGGGGGGCAGCGACGAGGGTGGTGTCGGCGGGTTACTCAGGTTATTCTGGGGGGTGGGGTGGTGTTGTGTGCAAGATGGCATAGGGAGACTGCTATAATCTCCTGGCCCCATACTATATCAGCAATTTCCTCAAGTATTCCATTCCTAGTATCCCCACCCCCACCTCCCCAAGAACTTCATTATTCCCAAAAGGCAATGCCACTTTTCTGACCTTGGTAAGCAGCTGGGAATAGTAGTCAGGGCTGCTGGACAGTGCCCCACTTCCAAAGGCCCCTCTCAGCTGGCTCTGCCCACTGACTGGGCAGCCACTGCCAAAGGGAGCAAAGAGACTAAAATTGGCAGTGATGGTAGGTTCCGTCAGGGGCAGCAAGGACAGCTCCTACAAGGGCAAGATGACAAAGTTGGAAACCTGCAGCACTTGTACCTGCGATTACAAAGCTGGGGGACAGGGTTCCCCCATTCTGGGATGGGACCAGGGGACTGGTTCCTGGGGGAGGTCACCTGTTTTAGCTGTTTCAACAGGGCCTCGTTGGCCCTGACACCATCCTCCTTCCGCAGTTTCTTTCGGGAGCTCACCAACCTGTCGCTTGCCTTCTGTACCCGCTTGGGCTTTGGTGTCAAAGGCTTCCTTGCTGCCGCATCCTAATCCAGATAAACTCTGTAAAGGCTGCTGCCCTTATCTGTTCTGTCTGACCCAGACCTGCTCATTCTTGCATCTCCCACCTCCATTCCAGGCCCCACTGTCTGCTCAACTCTAGCAGGAGTACTCACCTCCTTGTTGTTGGGGGTACCCTGTAGTTTCTGTTCCAGCCCTGCCAGCTTGCTGTCAATGTGCCCGTTGATCTCAGCTCGCAGCCCCTCAGGCACCCGCCCAGCGCCGAGTTGCACATTCTTTGCTCGTAGAAGCTTCTGCAAGAGCAGATGCCCTGCCTCTGAGCGGGAGCCTGCCAGCAGGAGGTGGTTGCTGGTACCTGATGTCCCTATTGGCTCCCCATTGGCCTCCCTCTTCACTGCCTGGGGTCCCAGGGCACATGGCTCTTCCCGAGGTTCCTGCTTGATGCTGAGTTGGGGTGGCTCAGGTACCACTTGTCCATTCACCTGCTCCAGATGCCCAGGTACCAGGCTGCTCTGCTCTAGCTTCTGGGCTTCTGCTAGGTTGTCTGGGGGATCCCAAGGTCCCAGCCCCTTGCAAAAGAAGGTATCCACAAGCTGGGCAGCAGCAGGTGAGACCCTCTCAGGAGGCAGCTCTGAGGTTGGCCCCTGGGGCTTTGGGGTCCCTGGATGGGTAGGGGTGAGCTGGGCACTGGGGGAAGGTAATTGTGAAGATCTCTTTGGCTCTTGGGGACTGGATGGTGGAGGTGTGGGATGGACAGGGCCAAGGACTGGTCCTGTGGATAAGGCTCCTTGTGGGGTAGGGAGCCGGGGTGGGCCCTGAGGTCTAGGCCCTGCCCCTAGCTCCTGGAGGGGGCCTGTCTGGGATCCAGGGAAACCCCCAGGTTGAGGATGGCTGCCCAAGAGGCCCTGCAGGGGAGAGGGTTGGGTTCCAGGCTCCTGGTAGGGTGGAGTCTGGCGAACGGCCTGACTCTGCTGCAGCTGCCGCTGCATGAGGAGGGCCTGTAGTTGCTGCTGCTGCTGAGGACTCAAGTGCCGCAGCTGTGGGTTTTTGGCCAGAACTCCTTGGAGCTGTGCTCGAAGTTGACCCACTGTAGGCATGACTCCAACCCCAGGCAGACCCTGCCCAGACTGGGCGCCAGATCCTGCTTTGGAAGGCTGTGGCCCTGTATTATTTTGCATGGGTCTCTCTAGCCCAAGGGGCTGTTGTGGCCCCAGAAGGTTCTGGGTCATGGGCATAGGCTGTTCCCCTAAGGAAACAGAGGGCTGGGCCAGCAAGTGGGGCATAGATGAAGCCTCAGAGGATGGTCCACTGCCTAGTTGCCCATGGCTTCCTGCACCTGCTGCGTGTAGCAAGTTAACTTGCTGCTGAGGTTGTCCCGGGAGCCTCAGAGGTGGCTGCAGCTGCAGAGAGTTGGGCTGAGGCTGGGCCTGGGGTTGGACCAGCAAGAGTTGTGAGTCCCCAGAGAGGGAGGGCTTTACCTCTCCTGGCTCAGTAGCCAATGACTCAGGTGCAGTCCCTATTCCTAATGGCCCTCCTTGATGTGTTGAGGGCCCTTCGGTGACTTCTGAAGGAAGAGCGGTCTCTACAATGTTTTGTTCCTTGCCCGTCAGGAGGAGGGTTGGGCCTAGGGCTCCAGAGCTAGAAAAATGTTGAGGAGGCTTGGCTGGCATGCCAGGGCCAAGTGTCACCTGCTGCTGCTGCTGTTGCTGAGGAGATAATAAAGTTCGACTCTGGTTCAAGAGGCCCATCTGGTGCTGTTGCTGCTGCTGCTGCTGCAGCTGCTGTTGTTGCTGTTGTAACTGCTGCTGTTGCTGAAGTTGTTGTTGCTGCTGCTGCTGCTGCTGCTGCTGCTGCTGAAGCTGTTGCTGCTGTTGCTGAAGTTGTTGCTGCTGTTGCTGTTGAAGCTGCTGCTGCTGCTGTTGAAGCTGCTGTTGCTGCTGTTGCTGCTGCTGCTGCTGTAGTTGCTGTTGCTGCTGTTGTTGAAGCTGCTGCTGCTGTAAGGAGCCCAGAGGCTGAGTGCTCAGTTTGGGCTGACCACTGTGTGATATCAGGCCCTGCTGAAGATGGGAAAGCCCTGCCATGGATCCCTGCTGTTGGTGTTGTTGTTGCTGCTGCTGTTGTTGCTGCTGCTGCTGCTGTTGGGCTGTGACCAGCCGGTGTCCCATAAGGCCATGACCCTGCTGTGTCAGCTGGGGGGAACTCAGCACCCGGGACTGGGTCATAAGCACCTGTCTGTGAGGGCCCTGAGGACCCAAAGCTGCAGGGTGCTGCTGCTGCAACACTGCCACCTGGGAAGGACCCAACATACTTTGGGACCCCTGGGGTGGTTGTGGGGACAACTGCTGCACCAGGAGGCCCTGGTGGCTGCCAGGAGGCAGAAGACCCTGGGGCTTGGGACCCAGAGTCTGGTTTGCTTGTACCCCAGGACCCTGTTGCTGTTGCTGCTGAACTGACACCTGTCCTAGGAGGTGTTGCTGCTGCTGTTGCTGCTGCTGTAATTTCTGAGCCAGCTGCATGCGTTGCTGCTGCAGCTGCAGCTGCCTTTCCTGTAAAAGCCTTGAGTCAGGTCCTAGGCTTCGAAGAGCAAGGTTGCCAGGAAAGAAGCCCCCTGAGGCACCAGCCAAGGATCCAGCCCCACCAGAATGTTGCTGTTGCTGCTGTTGGGCCAGGGCTGTGTTGAGGAATGGGCCAGTAGGCTGTCCAGGTAGTGCCATACCCCCAGGAGGCAGGCGAAGACCTCCAGCTTGTCCACCCGGAGGCCCCTGTGGTGGCTGTAACCCATGGCCAGGGAGCAGCTGACCAGGGAGCTTGGTGAGTAGCCGAGGACTCTGAGAAGGGCTGAGAGCTAGCACAGCTGAGTGCTGTTGCTGCTGTTGCTGCTGTTGTTGCTGTTGTTGCTGCTGCTGTTGCTGTTGCTGCTTGTTTCGATACTCTGCCATGAGATTCGTGTGCTCCTTCTGCTGTTTACGAACCTAACACGAAGGGTAGAAGAGGTCAGCCTGGAACCTGCCCACCCACGCCATCCCTTATTCCTGACTTCTGAATGATAAGTTGAAGTTTGCTTTCCCCACCTGATCCAGTTGTTTCTGGATCTTGCTCTGCTGTTCTGTAACCAGTTTGAGCTTCTCAGCATCAGCTTCTGGGAACTCACGGCCAGCCTTTTTGGCAGTGCGCTGTTTGGCACACAGAGCCTTCCGGGACTTACGGTGCACACCAATCTGCTCCTCTAGCAACTTCAGTTGCATCTGTAGGAGCTGTTGGGTATGGAAGAGCCACTCCTCATACTGCCGCTGATCAGCCTCATCTAGGAGAGGAAGTGGCATGTCAGGACCATAATCCCTCTCTTTCCACTGGTCCTTAAACCACTTCCTTGTACCTTCTCTTCTACCCCATACTCACTGATTACTCCCTGGGCAAAAGTGGGTGGGTTGGGACGAGGCTGGGAGGGGTCACTGGCATTCCGCTCCTGTTATGAGAAAGACCAATAAAAGGTCACTGTTCCACACAAGGCCCTAAGAAAGGTGACTCAATGCATAACATCCATGTTCCAACCCCAACCCCCAGCTCCTGACAACTTACCTGGCCACTCCCAGGTGCCACATGGTTCTGCAAATCACTGCCAGGTCCCCCAGAGAGCCTCTGGGCTAGCAGTGACACTTGCTGCCTGGAGTCCATCAAAGCACAGAGGATTAAGTGTTGTTGAAAGGCAAAGAAGTAGGACAAACAGGAAAGTGGGGCCAAGAAGGGAAGGGGTGTTAACTGGGAAAGAAAAGGGCCAGCCCCAAGTCTTACCTGTTCATACCAGGTGCCACCCCAATGCTGCCCTGAGCCATCACTTTCTTGATGCCTTTTAAAGCTACCATCTTGGCCTTTGCAATGGGATCAATGATGTCTTCTGCAGCAAATTTGTCCAGGTCTAGAGAGGGGATAGCCAAATGAGCTAGACTTTGGAATCAATGCTTTATACATTATATGACTAACACCCTGACCTACACCAAGCCATGAAGAATATGGCACAGTCAGGCAGAAAGACAACTGAGACAGGAGACAGGTGGCTTGGTGACACAGCTCTGATATTCAGAGAACATGTGATCCAGCCTTTACTTGTACAGTGTCAGGAAAAAGAACTTGGTAAATATTTGTTTAGTCAATAGATTAATGTCACTTCACCTATCTAAACCTCAGTTTACCTGTTTGATAGAGATCATGATCCCTATTCTGGGTATATCATGGAGATGTGACAAGCAAGTATACTTTATGACCTGGAAAGTTCTCTTCAAACATAGTATTCTTAGAGTAAGCACAACTCAGAACCCAAGATGTGGGCACTGTGGCAAAGCCCTAGATGTTAAGAGTAGTTTGGGACACAAAAAGGCATCATCTAAAACCAACTTTCCTGCCAATCTAGGATGCTGGGCTAAAAAGGGTAAAATAAATAACCACCCAAGATGCAAATTTTCCAGCAGGGCACAGTGGCATACACCTGTAAGCTCAGGTACTCAGGAGGCTGAGACAGGAAAATCGAGACCAGCCTGGGCAACTTAGCAACATCCTGGCTCAAAATGAAATAAAAAGGGCTGGGAACTCAGTAATAGAGTACTTGCCTAGTATCACCCCCAAAAGAAAAAACAACCTCAAATCTTCCTAAAACCCTTTTCTTGGGCTGGGGATGTGGCTCAGAGGTGGAGCACTCGCCTAGCATGCGTGAGGCACTGGGTTCGATCCTCAGCACCACGTAAATGTAAAATAAAGATATTGCGTTCACCTATAGCTAAAAAATAAATACTTAAAAAAAAAAAAAAACCTTTTCTTTATATATTTCCGTTGCTTAGAAAACAACTGACCCCCGACACACACACACACTTTCTAAAGAACTAACCAAACTCATTGTCCTGGAATTCTGAGGCAGTCAAGAAGAGTACTGGTATTCATATCCAACTCTGCTACTTGCTGTGTAATCATAGACAAGTTACTTAACTTCTATGCCTGTTTCCTCTTCTGTAATCAGACAATAATAGGACCTATTTAGTGAGTCTGTTGTGATGAGGAAATTAGACAATGAGTGTAAAGCACTCAACACACTGCTTGGAAAATAATAATTACTCAATAAATGTTGTTATAAGTTGACGTCTTTCTCAATATGGCTTTTCTTCTTACCGCTTCAAAATTATGGTAGTGCCTGCTCACTTATCTCACTGTTCTCCAACATCCTGGATGGGTTTTCCTGCCACTACAGCTTCACTCTATCTTTCTGTTTATCTGGATTGCTTTCTCTTGTAACACTTCTCTCCAAGTCCTAAACTTTTAGCCTCACCATAGCCACCATAAAGCCTTTGCTAATTAGACTTCATTCATTCCATTCATTCATTCTGATATCTGAATGCCTTCTATAGGTCAAGAACCATTCCCTCCCTTAAAAGCTACAGTGCTTCTGCCTGCCCTAGTACAGTATTTAGCCAAATCACTTTGTGTCCAATCTCCCTTAACTATGGCTTATCTTAGGTTGCTAACCTCAATGCCCATTTGGTGATAACAATGATCATCCCCAGTTAACTCAACCATGCCAGCAACTAAGGTTACCTGTATCTGGGAAGAAGTTGTTAGCCAGCTGCTGCTGCATCACCAACTGCTGGGGCTTCATGCACATGGAAGGTGGCATGGTACCCATGGGTTTCTGTGGTAGCACTGGCTGAGGGCTCTGCTGGGGCACCAAGCCTGCTTGCCCCCCATGCTGCCCACTTAGCATATGCCCTTGGTTGGACACCATGGCCATAGATGGGGCCAGGCGCTGCTGGAGGGCATGAGCTGGTGTCTGGGTGGGCATCAGTGGTTGGCTCAAGCCTGGCTGTCGGGCACCTGCAAGACCTAGGGCAAGCTGTTGTTGGGGCCCAGCCAAACTAGAAGAGCCCTCATGTGGCAAAGGCAGGGCCTGGGCAGGGCCTGGTGTGGACAGTAGGGGATGTTGTTGTTGCTGCTGTTGCTGTTGTTGCTGGGCAGGTTGCAGCTGTGCTGAAAGCTGCTGTTTCTTCTGCAGCTCCTTCTTTTCATGTTCCAACAGGTCCTCAATGAGCAGGGGCAACTCACTGGCAACCAGCGAGCTCTCCATCTTGTCCAGCTCATCCCCTGATGTTGTGTGTCCACCAGGCAAGGTCAGGGCCCCACTCTCTAGCTCAAACTTTTCCAGTAAGGAGGATCCTCCTGGGCCACTCAAGGGGCTAGGAGTCAGCAAGTGGGCTGATGGTCCTCCTGTGGCCCCAAAGGAACCCTTCTCAACTGTGTGCCCACCGCTGGAAAATGGTCCTGTGCCCATTCGGGTGTCCCGGCTACCCATCACACTCTGTCCTGGCTTCAGTCCTAGGCCAAGGGAAGTTGTAGCAGGTGCTGATTCTCCCTTGGGGGCAGTAATGGTGAACTGGCAAGGGGAAGGGTGGCGCCCACCTTCCTCCACCTTGGGCTTCACCTCAGGAAGTACAGATGCTAAGCGGGGTTCAGATGCATCAGCAGCAGGGGCAGGGCGCTCCTCAGGGCCCAAGGGTCCTGGCTCAACCCCCCGCAGCAGGGCCTCCCGCTCAGCCTTCTCATTTGCCGACTCCACCAGTCTTAGGTGCTCATTAAAGATGTCCTTCTTGTCCCCTGTGTCCAGCTCAGGATCAGTATATGCCAGTAGGTCAAACTCATCTCCATTAAGCAGGTCATCCAGGTGGGGATCATTGGTCTCCAGGTTTTCCAGGGTACCCAGCTCATCATCACCCTTGGCTACATCCACACCCAGACCCAAGTGAGCAAGCTCTTCATCATCCTCTAAGGCCTTGTGGGCATCAAAATCGTCGTCTAGCTCAGAATCCTCACAGGGTAATTTCCCAGTTTCTAGGGCCAGAGGAGGGGGACGGCCAAGCTCAGTGCTTGAGGGGGGACGGCTGACTAGCTCCAAACCAGCTGGCAAAGCCGGACTCTTGGTGTGGACCGTTGGATGAAGGCTATTGTTCAATTCAGGGGCTTGTGGAACAGAGGGTTTCTGTGGGGGAAGACCTGATATTGCCAGGCCTCGAAGTCCTTCAGGGGCTAATCGATGGGGATCTTCATTTACAGGGTAAAAACGGGGCCTCTGAGGGGGGCCCTGACCAGGAAATGGAGCCCCTCCAGGTCCTAGTCCTTTCTGTACATTGTGTCGCAACTCAATGAACTGAGCAGGACCAGCTGGACCAGGCACTGGCTCAGCAGGACCTGGTAGGCGGGTGGGAATTCCCGCCAAGGGAGAACCTAATGTTTGGCGGCCAAGTTCAGGTCCAGGAGTTGATGGAAAGCGAGTAGACATGGCAAGTCGCATGGAGGTTGCTGTTGTTGCCTGCTGCTGCTGCTGCTGCTGCTGCTGCTGCCACAGTTGTTGCTGCTGTTGCTGCTGTAAGGGCAGGGACGCAGGATAGGGCCCTCGCTGATAGAAGGCCTGGGAGCCTCCCACCAGTTGCCTGGAAGAATATGTAACAGTCAGTGAGAGACAATCAGGATAGAGAGAGAGAACAGGACTTACTAGCAACATGAGGAAGGACAGAATTAAAGTAGTGAAGGGGATGGAATGACGAAAAAGTAAATGATACTGGAGAAGGACTGGTAAAAAAGGAAAATCAGAGTATACAATGGCGATAAAATCTGTCCCCTTAGTTTATTCCCAGGGAACCCCCTAGAGCCTCACCGGCTGTTCATGTCCAAAGAAGAAGGTGTGGCTGGTGGAGGTGGCCGAGATAGTCGTTCATCGGTAGGGAAGGCCCCAGGCCCAAGGATAGGGCCACCTAGCTTGCTCGGAGGTAACCCCACAAGGCTGCTCTTATCCTGGAAGAGAGAAGTAGATGAAACTGGAGCCACTTCCATTTCCCTGGCCCTGCCACCCCATGCATGTTATTTACCTGGGTTCCAGTAAAAGGGGTCTGGCCTCGACTCAGCTGCTCAAAGGCAGGGCTGCTGGGCTCAGCACCCCAGCTGCCTGGGGGCCCTGCTGCACCTGCAGCTGCTGCAGCCGTTTCCTTCTCCTGCCGCAGGGTGTTGCGCTGGATCTGCTGCCTAATCAGCAACTCCCGTAGCCGCTGGCGCTGTACAGAAAATGGAGAAAAGGAGTGAACCCATTCTATTCCAATCATGAGCCTGGCACAGAAGATATAGAGATAGGCAGGAGCTGGGGGGCAGAGCTCAGCTGTGGGATATTCACTCACCTGCCGTTGTTTCTCCAGTTCTGTCTGGCTGAGGTTGGACATGCCTGGGTCCTGGGTACCTGGGAGATCAGGTGCTGCCAAAGAGCTACTCATTGTAGACCCTGGGTCTTGCTTTTCAACTGGAGAGGTGATGCTTGCCCGCTGTGAGGCTCCATGGGACAGGTAGGAGAGGGATCCATCGGGTGCAGGTGGTGGCAGAACTGATGCGGGGCGTAGTGGGGACAGCCCATAACCCTCCCCTGTGGACCCACTGTTGGACCCCAGCGGACTGCCTGATGGATGGAAGTTCCCCGTGGCTACTGTGTAGTTTGTGCTTTGTGGCTTGCCCAAGGTGGGGCCGGGCCCAAAATGGCTGTTGATCCCATGGGGTGGAGGGAGACCAGGCTGAGGGACAGGGGGCTTTAGGGAAGGCTCCCCTACTGCCTGAGGGAAAGTAAAACGCATGGGAGAGGGGGTGCCCACAAATGCACCCGTTCCAGGGGAGCGGGCGAAATTGGGGGGCTGTCCACTTGGGACCTTGGCATGGAGCTCACCTGCTGGCCCCGAGGGCAGGGCTGCTGGGAAGCCCCCAGCCCCCAGAGGAGTGTGGGCTAGAGGCCCAGCCTTAAAGGCAACTTCAGGGGGCTGGGGTCGGGGTGGCTTATGCAATGGGGCAAATGGGTCACGGGACTGAGGGCGCGAGGGTGGGCGAGAATAAGGGTCAGGGGACTGGAAGCGAGGGGTAACAGGGGATGGGCAGAAAGCCTCAGCAGACAGGGGACGAGGAGTTAATGGGGACTGGGAGCTGGACTGGGACTGAGGACTGGCGGGCACTCGGGAGAAAGGGTCAGAGGGCAGTGAGCGAGGGGGCAGGGCACAGCAGCTTTCAGGAGGTGGTGGCTGGGGCCGAGGAGTCAATGGGGGCTGGGCATATGGATCAGGGTAGGGACCAGGGCGAAAGATGTCTGGGTGGCTGGGAGGAGAAGGGGCCAAAGCCTGGGAAGAGGGTGGCTCCTGAGGCCGTAGGCCCAGACCTGGGCTCTGGGGCTCTACCTGAGATGCCCGAGGGGTCAGGGGGGCTTTGAAGACATCAGGTGCCTTCAACTCCAGGCCACCCAGATGAGGGCCTGAGGAGGGTGAGTCAACAAAACCCAGGTTTTGGGGTCCATAGCTAGGAGAGGATGCCCCAAGTTCTTCTTTCTTCACCTCTAGGGCCTTCCGGGACTCCCCAAAAGATGGGGGTGAGAGCAAGGGCTCAGAAGCCTTGCCTCCCACTACTCCTGGGCTCTCAGGGACAGCCAGGTTGTCCAGTGAGGGGCAGCGGGGTTTGAGGAAGGGGTCAGGCGTGGAGGGCTGATGTCGAGGGGTGCCAGGTGGGGTAGTGCGGAATTCTCCTGGCTGACCAGTCCCAGGACGAGATGAGGCGCCCAACATCGGGGGCTGCGCAGGGGCCCCAGTCGGACTCGGATAGGGGGGATAAGTGGGTGGTGCCACAGGGAAGCGGGGCTCCAGGGTGTAGGCAGGGGCCAGTCCAAAGGGGTCCTGCGAAGGCACTTGGGCAGGCACCTGGGGCGGGAGCTTGAGGAAGAGCTCACCGGGCGAGTCGGGGCCGGGCACCGTGCCCACTGGTGGCTTCAGGAACCCGTCCGCAGAGGTAGACAAGCCGGCGGGGGTAGTGGGACTGCCAATGAAAATGGTGGGGGCCGCGGCAGGGGGCGGACTGCCCAGTGCTCCTGGCTGAGGGGGAATGCGGAGATGAAGGGCCGGTCGATCAGTCTTACGGGCTATGTCGCCCACCTTGGTCTGCTTGTTGATCTGGCTCTCAGCCTGCTACAGGGAGAGACCAGGCACAGAGCAGTCAGGCTGCTGTAAGCAGGCCCCATGACCCTAGATGGGCCATCCACTATGAAACTTCAATGACTTGGCCCGGCCCAGCCCCAACTCACCTTCTGCACCTTGTTGATGCGGTGAGCCGCTCTGTTATCTTTGGCCTTTTGCTGAGGAATGTAAGACACAACAGAGGCCTAGCACTGAGTCTCAAACCTAATCCTCATCCCTCATGATGTTACTCACACTCCCTACCCATAAGCTGGTCCCTCTTGGCCCAGCTTCTTTAGGAATAGGGAATGGAAAGATCTAAGGTAAATATACCATAGATATCTCCCCTCCACCTCCATTCCAAGGCTGGCCCATGCTCCTTTCTGTCTCACCAGATAGGGGGCTTTGTCAGCAGCTGGAACCTTTCTCCAGAGCTTCATGATTTGTTTGCAACGGTTAGACCAATCTGGAAGGCAAAGGTATTGAGTCAGAGACTTAGCAGGTGACCGCTCCACCTGCCAGGCTGCCAAGTTGTTTCCCTTGCCCTCAACCCACAGGTACCTGGGTAATCTTGCTTGAGATTTGGAAAGTTAATGTTGGCATAGAGCACAGGTGAGATGGTAGAGAGCTGGCCCAACTCCTCGTCCTTCTCCCAGCGCTGCAGATTCCGTTGATTATAGGAGAGCCCGTCGCCCTCACCCTCTGTGGTGGGAGTGGTGGGGGTGGAGGGTGTGGTGCCCCCCGAGCCTGTCCAAGGGCTGTCTGGCTCACCGGGTTCTGGGCTAAAGAAGCCCCCGCGCTCCCTGGGGCGCAGGGGCAGAGAGTCACAGTGGGCAGGGATGCCAAGTCCCCCACCAGGCCACCGCCCTTCCCCAATAAAGAAAGGACATTAACAAGGGAATGAGAAGAGCAGGGGAAGTATTGCTATAGTGACCCAGAAGTCCAAGCCAAGGTATGGACCTGGTTGGAGGGAAAGGATAACAGGAACTACCCACAGAGATTAAGCATAGATACCAACCTAGAATCCAAGAACGGGGACTGACAGAGGCCCGGATAGGAGTCCATTGGGCTGCTGGAGGGGAGATTGACCAGAGGGAGTCCACCTACAAGAGGGATAGGATCAGAGGAAAGGGAGTGACTGGACTACTCTGGGAGCAAGCTTATTTATCCCTTGGCCACTCCCCACTCCATATCACCTTGGATAAAGGGCCTCTGCAGTGGTGTACGGCTGCCTTCTAGGCCAGGGGTTCCACAGCCCAGATGCTGCTCTCGTTCAGAACCCAGGACATCCTTGAAGAGCTGCTGCAGATCCTTGGACTCCATCTTGGGCAGTTCTGTGGGGGAACGATAAAGGATGCTGCTGAGGAAGAAGGGAAGGGTCACCACAGGTCAACAAATGGTCATAGCCAGAGAGGGTGCCCAGGACTTCCCACCAGAGAAGATCATCCCACGAGTGGGACATGAATAAATACAACCCTTATAAGCCTCACCTTCTGTAGGAATCCTGTCTAAGTCAGAGCTAAGCATCCCTTCACCTGGGGTGCCTGGCTTCTCAGGGTCACTGGGCACAGGGGATGCCTTTACACCTCCATCCTCAGGACCTGAAATTATCAGGAGAAACCCATCAGCCAAGGCCATGGAGATATGAAGGTACCACACTGGCCATCCTGAACTGCAGAAAGGTATGGAACAATTTCCAGCCTCCAACCCTGACAGTGCTCAAGGGCAGAGCTAACTGACAGAAGCAAAGCCAATAAAGGACACAGTCCACCCAGTGGCCCTTACCTGGTATATCAGCCATGCCCTCGGGGCCACGGGATTCTTCATCTGCAACATCTGGACCATCATCTCCTATAAGCAATAGGCCCCACTCCAATCAGAGACACGCTATTCTCCAGCTTCACCAGCCAGGGCCCTTAGCATACCCTTAACTGCTGGAGGCTAGCCCCTTCCCTGCAAACACCCACCAGCTCCTAAGCAAAAGGCAAGTTGGATCCCCTCAGATCATTTCACTCATAAAGAACTAACCTTTCTGTGAAGTGGTGAGCTCCTTCCTATCTGAGCCTCCATCCCCACGGGCTTTTGGGGTTCCTAGCCCAAAGGTTGGCCGGCTCACCCCAACTGCAAAAAGGGCCTTCCGGCTCAGGTCCAGCAGCTCCTTCCCAAAGAAGGCTTCCTATGATAGGAGTCAGAAGAAACAGGCTCTTGATGCCTTACATGTACAGATACCTCCCTTGCCCCTCAGAGTCTGAGACCCACCTGCAGGTAAACAGGGAACATATCCTCTAGTTTGCTTTTCTTGCGCCCTCGTCGCTGCTGCTTCTTCTTCTCATCCCCATCAGCGAGGTTCTGTTCCATGGAGCCCTCTGCAGGCAGATCAGTAGGCATCACTGTGGACAGAATGGGAAGGCTCTGGCTCTCTGGGAACATTGGGTATCATGTACCCAATTGGACTAGAAAATACTTTCTACCTACTCTCTCCCCTAAAATCAACTGGGCCCATCACCCTCTTGGCCCTTGCAGCAAGTCCCCACCCTGAGCCTCCCTGGCATTGTTCTGTGGGTGCTGTGATCCCCACCTTCTCCCAGGTCCCACTGGTGCCCTCACCCGTCTCACCCTCGTCGGGCTGCCCATCCCCACTCAACACCTCCGCCTGTGCAGCAGGCCCCTTTTTCACGCGTGTGTGGGATTTCCGTTGTCGCACCATGAAACCACCAATGCCTATGAGGAGGTGGAGCTGAGGATAAGTAGCTGCTGAGGGACCTGTTAAACTGTCCTTCCCATCCCACCTCCCCATCCCAGGGCCTTACCAGGCCGATAGGGTTTGCGCTTGCGTTTTTTGCTTTCTTCAGTCTCTTCTTTGCCAGGTTCCACATCAGGGCTTGCAGGGCCCTCTAGTTTAATTTCACACTCCATGTGTTCCACACCACCTGCATATGATGACAGAAGCGACGGAGGTAGATCAGAGGCATGGGCCCATTTACCCTTGTTATCCTGCCCCAGAGAACCTGGTACCTTGCCACAGAGTCACCTAGACAAGACCAACAGTGCTGGAAGGTGACCTGGAGTAGCAACATGGACCCCACTCAATAGCCCAACTCCCACGTGTGTTCCCTGAGATTTCTGGCCCAACCTTCACCCTTGAGCAGCTCGTCGGTATCCAGGTCCCCATCCTTCTTGTCATCAGGGCCAAGGGCATCAGAGGGCTCAGAACCCTCCAGCCCTGCTTCGCCTGGGAGGCCCAGACGGCCTCGCCTCTGGCGCCGCTTGTGCAGTGGCGACATGGTCAGGTTACGCAGCACAGCCATGCCTGTTTCTGTCAGCCACACACCTTCGAAGCGAAAGTACTGGGGCTCTGTACAAGGAGGAAAAGTGTGTGAGCTGTGGACAGAAGCCCCAGGGAAACTAGAACTCCAAGTTTCAACCTATGTCTCCTGCTGAGACAAAAAACAGACAAAAAGTCCACCCTGGGATCTGAGGGCTGGGAAAAAAGTCCAAAAAGGGGCACTGATTGAAGCCTGAGTTCTCTGTCAGTGACCCAGGGGAATCTAGAGAGGGGACTGCCTTTGCAGAAGCCTGACTTTACTCAGGATTAACCCCAATTTCACCAATTAGATTCTCTAGCTGTCCAGGGACCAGAAGGGTCCCTATTTGCTGACTGCCAGCACATAGTACCCCAGATGCCAGAAGTAGTATCCACATCATGATGGAAGAGATGGCTCCCAACCCATTCAAGGAGGAAGAAAGAGTTGTGCTCTCTAGAGATAAAATTCTGGGAGTAAAGATAGGTCATGTTTCCTGGTAAAAAGAACAATGTTCAATAAACTGAAGGTACTTTGCTTCTAGTCATAACTTTGCCACTAACTTACTAGGAGACTATGGGCAGGACACTCAATCTCCCTGGATCTACTTTCTCCTCTTAAAATGGAGAAAATGATGGGACTGAGGCTGAAGCTCAGTGGTAAAGTGCTTGCCTCGTATGTGTGAGGCACTGGGTTCAATCCTCAGCACCACAAAAACATCTAACACTAAATAAACATTTTTTAAAAATAAAAATAAAATGAGAAAATGAAGTTAGGGGGTTGGAGCTAAAGTGTATCTTATTGAAGGTTTCCTCTGGCATGCAAAATTTCTGGGACTCACCTGGCTCTTTCACCTTCATAGGCACCAATTCTGGAGGGGCAACAGGCACTGTGGAGGGAAGAACCAAGCAGGCAGCTTAGGCACTGTCTTAAAACCAAGTACCCATATTTTGTCTCCTCCTTGCCCTCCCAGCAACTGGTACTCACCCACAGGCTTTACCACATAGGGCTGGCAGGAGACACAGTCAAAGCCCTCATCAGCTGCCTGCTCCACATCATCCTCAGTGAGTAGGCTCTGGCAGCGAGCATGCATCCACCTGGGAGAACAGAGACAAGACAGGGGTGATGAGAGCACAGGCAATGCCAGGCTGACAACAGAGAAGTGGGACTGACACAAGGGTAAAGGGATGCTCTCACCGTTCACAATGGCGGCATTGAATTAACAGGTCCTCTTCAACATACGGTGAATGACAGATAGGGCAGGTTACCAGGCTGGCACAGGGCCCACAGTGTGTATAGCTATTCTGCCATTCACAGTGGAAGCCAGGGGAAGCGGCCCCACACTGCATACAAGACACACACCTGATGGGGTAGAAAGATAGACCCTCAACACCTAACCTACCCAAGTCAAGGAAAGGCACTCCCCCTCAGAGAACCAAATAAGCAGCATGCCTCCTAAATTCAACCTCTGTCACATATGCAACATCACACCCATTCTAACATCTAAGGCCCAAATGCCCCATCCTCTCAAGCCCCAGGCTCCTCAGAAGACCCAGGTCTCCTTACCACTTGCACTTCCAGCCACCCTTGGGCACGGTGAGCAGTGGGGGGTCCAGGCAGTATGTGTGGTAACTAATGTCACAGTCATCACAGAGCAGCAGACGTGAAGGGTCAGAGGCCTGGCCACACACCTCACACACGATACACTCCACACAACGCCAGCCCTTTAGCAGCATCACCTTAGTAATCTAGTGTAATGTAAAAGAGGGGAATTTCTTGGGGTGTGAAGGAGGAGGGAGACATATATTGATGGGGCTGGAGGAACCCCAGTACAAGTCAGGCTTCCACTTGAGCACAGGTAGGCTTATACAGAGCACCCTCACCCCTGAAAACGGTGACTCTAAACAGGCTTCCTGGGATCTCTGTCAATCACAGAACAGCCTCACCAGCCACTACCTCACAACAAGTGTGGAATAGCAATCTTTCACTAGTCAGAAAACCACAGACAAAATTAGGATGCACTTCCCTCAATTTCCTTGAATATTTAGAACCTGTTACTAAAACAAGTGCTAACCATGAATTAAATCATAAATTAATATTACTGACAAACTAAAAATGAGCATACACACTTAGATCAAAACACTGCTTTCTCTTCGTGGAGACATCTTATAGTTTGATTTTATATTATAACTCCAGGCTACACCACGATTTATACTAGTAAAGTTGTCATTGTTTAATGTAATGGATTGAATTATGTCACACGGTTTGGTCTACCACAATGAAACTATAAAGTCTTCCATAATTTCCAAAAGACTTTTCACCAAAATAAGCTTAATAGTCCCGGGAAACTGATGAATAACTTCCAGAGCAATGGTCACTTTAAGAGGTACTGTGGCCAGAGCAGGAGATTAAGTAAGAAAGAACTGACCCTGTTCCCCAGTCCACACCTCTTGGGTCCTGAACTCACCTTGCTGTTGACACAGTAAGGGTGATAGCACTGAGAGCACTGTGAACAGGCCAGGAGGTGGCCCTCGGCCCCCCGACCAAAGCTGCCACATACCACACACATGTCCTGTAGAAACAAAGAAGTCTCAATGTTCAAGCAGATCTCCTTATTTTGCCTGTCCCAGCTAACTACTAGAACACTTAACCTTAGACCAAGAAGCCAGGAAATCAGAAGCCCACTCCACAGTACTGTGACACTTACAGGGCCACCTCAAGACCCCAGCTCCTCCTTTTCAACCCAAAGGAACTATGCCTCCCTAGAATGTCTCACTCACCTAATAAGTAACTTGAGTTTATAAAGTTCAGCATATGTAATGGTATGAAAAAATTACAGGAAGGTAAAATGGAATAAAGACTGGTCAGGGGAGAGTCACATATGTGATAGAAGTCTGTCTGCTTCAAGATTATTCAAGTGAGAACATATGTAAGCTCCCCCTAAACAATAAGCTTCGACAGGGCAAAGATCATTTTTGCCTTTCTTACTGCTACATGGAATTAATTTATTGTCCACTTGCTTTCTTATTAGCTGGGTATCCCCAGCAATAGGTACATGGTTTCCCCCATCTCATCAAAACACACACACACACACACACACATACACACACTGCAGGGGATAGAACTACCACAAGTATAATACCTGCATTAGAACAAATTTGTCTGTGTTGGAAAAAAGAACCACAGTATTTTGCATGGTGTCATCATCTTCTTCCTCCTCCTCCTTGCTGGGAGAGCTATCAATATCAGCCACCTTATAGGCAGAGAGTTGTGAAAGTGAGGAAAATAAGTCTACCCCAACTAAGGTGTTTCCCTCTTTGGCACTGGGGAAGGAGGTGTGAACCCTAGGCTAAATGAAGGCCAGATGCCAGATCTAAGAGGAAGAACAATATCCCAACTCCCAATCTGGGCCTCAGCTCAATGGCAAGGATTTCAGAGAAGACTGGGGACCAAGTACACAGACAGGAGTACAGACTAGCCAGACAAACCTTAGGCTAACAGGCTGATAGGCTAGCATACAGGGGACTGGCATGATATAAAGGGTGTTTAATTCTGAAGGGGCCAGGTAAAGCATGCTTGGGGAATGGGAAGCCTCTCCTTACTACCAGAGTCTCGATGGAAGAAGTGGTTGATTTTAGCCGGGCCCGTCCTCTCCCTCGTCCTCCATGTGCTCCTCCTCGAGGCCGGCGTCTTCCTGGGAAACTACTGCTGCGACCCTGAGTGAGGGAAGAGGATGATTACAAGAAAAAGTCAAGGACTCGTGTGTTGGATCCACAGGCTCAAAGAGAAGAGACAAATGACAGAGTATGACTAGTAATTAAACCCAGGAACCCCACTTAGAGCAGGGAAAAGTCAAGCTCCCAAATATCAACAAGTAGTTGCTCTGGCACACACCAATTACCCTCTTTCAAGAAAGAGTGACCAGGGGACTGGGGTTGTGGTTCAGTGAGGGAGTGCCTGCCTAGCATGTATGAGGCACCAGGTTCAATCCTCAGTACCACAAAAAATATATATATAAATAAAATAAAGGTACTGTGTCCACCTATAATTGAAAAAAAAAGAGTGACCAACATGATCCAAGGAGATAAAATAGTGACTTGAGAGACCCAAGTTTCTGATTCCAGTTCTCCTACTAAGAGATCAAGAGCCTAGGTAAATCATCTGCCCACTCTATGTATCAGTATTCTCTTTAGTAAAATATGAAGTTGGACTAAAGCATCTCTACAAGCCTGGGATTCAGTAAACCAATTGTGAAGGTTATCAGTGGCAAATGACTGTACCTCTCACAGTATTGTGACCTTGACCACATACAGTGGCTGCATAGCCCCCTCACCTGTTTGATTCGGGAACGGGCTGGGGAGCTGCGCCGCCGCCCCTTGTCCCCCTCAGCTTTGCCTCCGCTGATAGCTGTCCCAGCATCACACAATAGAGAGTCATCAGTCTCTGGCAGCGAGTCGGTACAGAGTCGCAGGGAGCCCTCATCTCGAACTGGACTAACATCCGTAGATACCCCCAGCTCCATAGACAAGGAGCCACCCCCCTCAGGGTCAGGAGAACCCAGCAGGGGCTCTGAGCCAGGAAAACTGGCACTGGCATCGCCCTGGCTCAGATTAGAGATCTCATTAACAATGTCAGATTTGATGAGAGTGGGTGGTATGGAGGCCACTGGTACACGGGGCTCCTCTTGTTCTTCACAGGGTGATCCTTGCCCTGCCTGCTTGCATTCTGGGCCATAGACCTCCATAGGGGTCACAGGGGCCAGCTCCTCAGGGTCCAGGAGCACAGGGGAACCTTTAGGTTCACTAGCCAAACTGGCAGGGGTCTGTCCAGCCTCTGGCTGTGAACCAGGAGCATCAGTCCCATCCAGAGGCGCTGTGTCTTCCCCCAAGCCGGAGAAGTCATCTAGAGCTGGGGCAGGGCTGGGGGCAGGGCAGGAAAGGTCCCCCATGGGGGAAGGGAGAGGACTGGTGGCACTGGGTTCCAAGGCTGGGCACTCAGGTTCTGGGCCTTTCTCAGTCTCCATCTCATGCAACTCAGCCTCATCTGAGATATCCATTGCCTTTCCCATGGGACTCAATGGGGAGGGAATGGACAGTGGCAGAGCAGGAGGGGAGCACCGGGAAGGAGGGGAGTCTGGAAGAGGGAGGGGATGCTGAAGAAGTGGAGAACACTGTGGAGCAAGAGGTTCCATCAGGATGGGAGAAGCAGGTCCCATTGGAGAGCCTGGAGATGGGGGAAGGATCATTGGGGGCACAGGCTCAGGGTCAGTGCAGTTAGCTTCCGGTGGAGGGCTGATGGGTGTCTCTAGGATGGGGGCAGCCAATGGTGACTCAGAATCACTGTCCCCTTTGGCACCAAAGGGGTACTCTAACTCCCCCAAAGGAGACAGAGCTGGTGGGGCTGTAGCTGGAATAATGGGTGACAGTGGAGGAGGAAGAGGATCTGGGAGGAAGAAAAAAGAGAAGCTCTAGATTAGATGTGCCATAAAGAGTTAAGACTGTCCCAGAGTAAACAGGCACTAACCTCCCCTTACCTGATGGCATCAGCTGAGGTGACAAGGATGGCTCCCCTGATGGGGACATGGGCATCTCCTCAGGTAGAGGGGATAGAGGTGGTTCCCCAGGCTCAGACAGGGCCGGCTCTCCAAGCAAGGGGGACAAGGGAGGCTCCCCAGGTGGGGGAAACAAGGGCAACTCCTCAGATGCAGGGCACAGGTGTGGCTCCTCAGGAGGCTCTTCAGGCTGAAGGGATCGGCATGGTTCCTCAAGCTGGGGGGTCAGGCATGGCTCCTCAGGCATAGGCGACTGGTGGGGCTCCTCAGGCTGGAGGGTAAGCAATCCCTCAGGCTGAGGGGATAAGCATGGTTCCTCAGTCACAGGAGATAGGTGTAGTTTCTCAGGCTGAGAGGATAGACATGGCTCCTCAAGCACAGGGGACAAACATGGCTCCTCAGGCCGTGGGGACAGGTGCGGCTCCTCAGGCCGTGGGGACAGGTGCGGCTCCTCAGGCCGTGGGGACAGGTGCGGCTCCTCAGACCGTGGGGACAGGTGCAGCTCCTTAGGCTGGGGATAGAGTCTCGGCTCCTCAGGCTGCAGGGACAGGTGCAGCTTCTCAGACTGGGAACAAAGTTGGGGCTCCTCAGGCTGTGGGGACAGGTGTGGCTCCTCAGGCCGGGGGCAGAGTCTCAGCTCCTCAGGCAGTGGTGACAGGGGTGACTCCTCCAGTGGCAGGGACATGAGCGAGTCCTCCGGTGGTGGAGAAGCAGATAAATCTTCAGGTGGTGGAGATGTGGGCGAGTCCTCAGGTGGTGGGGATAGGCGTGAAGCCTCAGGTGGAGGTGACGTGGGGGACTCCTCAGGTGGCGGAGACAAGGGAGATTCCTCAGGTGGTGGGGACAGGCGTGACACCTCAGGTAGGGGGGATAAGTGTGATACCTCAGGCAGTGGGGACAGGCATGATACCTCAGGTGGGGGGGACATAGGTGAGTCTTCAGGTGGTGGAGACATGGGTGAGTCCTCAGGGGGTGGGGACAGGCGTGAAGCCTCAGGAGGTGGAGACAAGGGAGACTCTTCAGGTGGAGGGGACAAGGGAGACTCTTCAAATGGTGGGAACAGACGAGATGCCTCAGGTGGTGGAGACATGGGTGACTCTTCAGGTGGAGGGGACATAGGTGACTCCTCAGGTGGTGGAGACAGGCGAGATGCCTCAGGTGGTGGGGAACTGGGCAATTCTTCAGGTGGGGGTGACAAGGGAGACTCCTCAAATGGAGGAGACAGGGGTGATGCTTCAGGTGGTGGGGACAAGGGCGTCTCAAGTGAGGGAGATGGGGGTGATGCTTCTGGTGGAGAGAAGGGTGACTCTTCCAGTGGAGAAAAAGGTGATGATTCAGGTGGGGGAGACAGAGGAGACTCTTCAGGCGGTGGGGAAAGGGGTGATTCCTCAGGCGGAGAGGACAGGTGTGACATCTCAGGCGGTGGGGAAGCAGGTGATTCCTCAGGCGGCGGGGACAGGCGTGAGGCTTCAGGAGGTGGAGACGTGGGTGATTCCTCAGGTGGTGGGGACAGGGGTGACTCCTCAGGTGGGGGCAGCAGTGGCATCTCCTCATTTAGGGTGGTCTCCAACCGGGATTCAGGTTGGGCCCCTGCTCTCCCTGCAGACACAACACATAAAACTCCCATCTAGCTCAGATTTATTGCACAGAAAGTAAAATGTTTAAAGCAAAGGAAAATCTGTTTCTTACCACAGAATAAAGGGGGATTGATTTCAGGGATCCTCAAACCCTACTCACCTAGTGGTTTGGCTTCACATTGCAGGGGCCCCGATTCCTTGGGTTGCATAGAGGTCACGTGCCCACCCTTTGGCTGCCCTTGGCATGCAACGCACAGAGCATCGGGCTCATCAGTGGGGATATCGCCAGGCTCTGGGGGTGAAAATCTGCAGAGGGTACAGGGGAGCAGGCACTGTGGCTCTCACCAGCTAACAATTCCTAGAGAGCACACTGGGGTGATGCGTGAATACTGTGGATTGCGCTGCCCCCTTTAGGGCTCTCCTCTAAAAGTCCATGCTTTAACATGACCTCTGCCAATCTCAATCCTTCTGACCACCCCCCAATCCCAATCTCAACCAGTTCACACCACTTACCTCCTACAGACAGGCGAATGCTGCTCAGCAACAGAACTGATAGGTTGACCTCCCTGGGCTTTGTGACAGCGGTGACAGAGTGAGTAGTTCTCAAACCACTCAGAGTTGGGATTCAGCTCTGCTGAACCTGTTCCACAGGCCCGGCATACCCGACATGCCTAGAAGGGAATAGACAAAACAGGCATTGGTCAAACTAACAGGACTGGTCACCATAGGAAAACTCTGGGGATGCTGTAGAGGCAGAATCAGGAGACACTCACCTTACACTTCCAAGAGTGAGCAGGCAGTTCCTCCATGGGTGGTTTTAAGCAGAAGGTATGATATCCTTTGTCACAAGTCTCACAGACCAACATCTTAGAGTCATTCCCAGGTTTCCTGCAGGGGTACAGGGCACATTATGGGGTCCTCATTTTCTACCTTAGCCTGTGTTCTGCTTCCCTCTTGTCTTCCTAGTCTTACCTGCAGGCTTGGCACACTTTGCATTCAGGGCACTGCCAGCCAGCACGCTTGCGGGGAGTCAAAGCAGTATCCAAGCAGGCCCCATGATAGTGATGCCCACAGCTGGTACAGAAGAACAGGTCACATAATTCCCCTGGTCCCTCACATACTGCACAGTGAGCCTCCTCTGCAGAGGGAAGAGACAGACAACACAGGTCAGCTGCAGATTCCTTACCAGGTACATAACAGGTATTCCATGGGCACAGAATAAATGTATAACATAGTTTACTGAGTACTGGCTCAAAATATGCCAGGTACTATTCTAGGCACTGTGGACACTATGGTAAATGAGACAAGCAAATACCCCATGCTCACAAAGTTCACACATATTTTAGTGGGGCAGACTGATGGTGTATAATTACAGATTTGAGAAGTGCTCTACAGAATACCAAAATGTGATGCATACTTGGCCCCTCATTTGCTCTCTGTCCAAAGGATAAGATTTCTCACCCAGATGTGCAGCCCCCTCACTGTGTTCCGGGCAAAGCAGTTGCAGTGTTTTCATGGATAAGAACGAACCGCTGGCAGTTGCACAGGGGAAATGGTAAAGCCGTGGACATCCAGGAGAACGGCAAGGGATGGAGGCACCGAGCCTGGTGCAGTGGGAGCAACGCTGCCAGGAAGAACACAAATCCTCAGACCAACCAGTTTTCTATAGAGGAGCAGTTTTAAGTACTAACTCTGCCCCAGTATGTCTACCATCCTTCTCATTCTACCCTAACTCTCAGAATCCCACCAGCCATTCCAACTCTCTCCAAGCCCAGCCCTGTTTTCCCCTCTGCAATCCCCTAGCCTTAGCTCTACCTGTGAGATCCCTGAGAAGATGGCCTTGTCCACACCACATAGTTCTGGGCCCTCTTGCCCCCAAACGCCTGCTGACCATGCAGCACACCAATGGTGTGCCCAGAAGGACCCTTTACAGGTGGGAAGAGATAAACAAAAAGGAAAGAGTTAACAAGATGACTCCTGGCTCATGACTACCCACCCTTTACTTGGTTTTCTGCCCTTCTCTCCTTCACTTACCTCCAGGTTCTCCTAGGTGGGCAGGTGTAAGGCCCTCAGGGAAACCAATCTGTGATAGATCCTCACTGGGAAGCACTGCCTCACTGGGTCCTGGGTTCCCCCCAGGTAACACCACTGGAGACCGGGGCCAGTCAAATGGCAACTCAAAGCGTTGCAGTTCCCGCTGCCCATGAAGACTTGGCTCCCCGCAGTTACAGAGAGCACAGCGCCGCACTGGACCCCCACTGTGGAGACACAAGCATCAGCACCATGCTAGGCTCCTGGCACCCCATGAACCGGCATGCCCATGCATCCCAAATACTCATTTTTTTTTTTAATCTTCTTCCTTAAAGCCCCAAACTCTCAAATCAAACTCTTTTTTTTTTTTAAAGAAAGAGAGAGAGAGAGTGAGAAAGAGGAAGAGAGAGAGAGAATTTTAATATTTATTTCTTAGTATTTGGCAGACACAACATCTTTGTCTGTATGTGGTGCTGAGGATCGAACCGGGGCCGCACACATGCCAGGCGAGCGCGCTACCGCTTAAGCCACATCCCCAGCCCCATCAAATCAAATTCTTATGAGCCCTTACATCCTTGTTTCTCCCAAATGAGTTACCTGCAGCCCTGGGGTGGCTCCTGAAGTCTGGGACTCCCAGAACTGGGGACAGACACCTCCCCCACACGTGGGTTGGGAAGGTCTGGCTCAGCGGCACCTGGCTCCTCGGAGGCTGCAGGTCCATCAGCTGAATGAACAGAAAGAACAGCACGCATATTTAATACTAAGTCCATTCACCAGACCATGAGATTATCTAAAACCCACACTGGACCAGAGAGATGGTATTTTGATTTTTGTCTCAAAGAACAAAGTCCTTCAATTAGCTATCTATTACTCAGATTTAATTCACGTCCTTGTGCCAGGGCCAGAAATACAAGGTTGCCACGAAGAGCTAAAAGCTTTCAGCAAACCCAAAACTTGCCCTACTCACCTGCCGGTTCTGAATCTTTATCCTCACCAGGCGACTTCTGGCTGTCCATCCCTCTCTCCGACGGGGCAGGGCCCTCTCGGGGAGACCTGTTAGTGTCAAGAGATATCTGTGTATCCAGTAAATCTCCCCTAAAGCCCTTGCCCAAAAATCCTAGGAGGAAGTCAGCTAATGGTATCCAGACCCTACAGATATCAGAACCAAGTCTTACCTACAAACTCCCAAATTAATGACAAGGAAAATCATTCTTCCTAACCTTATCCCAATTTCTCCCCAGATAAACACATACCCTCTTCTCCCACTCTGGACTCTCAGGGGATCTACTCCATTTTCCCATTTCTAGCCACCTCTATAACCCAGGGCAATAGTATTTAACTAGAAGCACATCCAATTTACATCTAGTACCACCCTTTGCCTCATCTGATTTCTTATGAGTCCTATCCCCTATCCTTTTTCCTCATGTCATCCACCATCCTAAGCCCTGTCAGTGCCAACTTAGGGGTAATTTTGACCCTGAAGTCTGAGTCCAGCCAAAATCCCTCTCCCAGAGCCAGAGTCCCAAGATCTTGCAAGAAATAGGGCACACTACAAGAACTAAAGTCTAGCTGTGGATGGATCTCTCCCACTTCCACTAGTCTCAACCAGGACAACTCAATCCCAACAGAAGAAACCCCAATATCCACTCAAATGCTCTGCCCTTGCCCTAACTAAACCCTGGGTCTCACCCAACCTGAAGGCCTCAGGTCGTTGCCCTTAACAACGCCAACTGCCCTTCCTCCTGAGATGTTCCCAGTAGTTAACAGAAGTGGGCCTGAAGAGTTACTGAGCATGTGTAGGCAGGTCTGAGGCTAAGCATGCTGGGAGTTGTAGTCTCAGGAAGCACATTGCCACTTGGAGGAGTTCTAAATGGGGCAGGACATAGCAGAGCAGAACAGTTTCCTTCCTCTTCCGTCAAAGAGGGTTTCCACACAAACTGGGTGTGTGTATGTGTGTGTGTGTGTAAGTAACGGTCCCCAGTCCCCCTTCTAAGATATACCAGCCTGTACCAGAGTCATAAAAAACACACTAAAGTTGTACCAAAAAAAAAAAAAAAAGTTGAGACACACCTTTGAGCATATTTTCCTTTACCTTGGAGGGAACTAAGCATAGTACAAAAACAAACAGGAGTAAAGAATAAGAAGAATTACAAAGATGAGGAATAGGAAAGGGACCCTATAGAAGAAAGGAGAAAGGGACAGGTACCATAAGCTGTTAGTGAGAAGGGTAGACCGTTCTCTTAATTAGAGATTAAGAGATGGAGTATGAGAGTCCTAAAAAAAGAATTGCAAGTAATAAGAGTCTGAGAAATTCATCTCCCACCTTTTTCACTCCTCTTTTTTAACAACAGTGACTACATCAAACTTAATAAGAACAACCCTGTCCTCTCAAACTGTATGGCAAATCCCCCAGTCAACAATTTAGGATTCAATGACAGGGGAACTCTCAAAGGTGCTCAAGATTGGGAAATCAATTCCCTAATTACCAAGTTATCAGTCCCTCCTTTCCTAAGATCACACTTCCTTTTCCAGATGCTGGAAATGCTTCTCCTGAGCCATTTCCCCCACCACTCAGAATCTCTTAGGTAGGTAACATAAAGCATCACCTGATGCCTGTTATCTCCATTCTCAAACCATCTTTCTTTCACAAATCTGCTACACAACCACACCTGAAAAAAAAAGCAGGGTGGGTCATCTGGCTGTCTCACAGAAAAGTTGCTCAGGAACTTCAAGGGGCCATTAGAAACCACCTGTGGGAAGTGGGAGTTGGAGGTCAGGGTACCAGCCAGGTCCCTCTTCCTATTCAGTCATTCAAGGCCTAGACATCCCCAGAAGTCCAAGAAGGCCTCAAAATTTTCTATGCTTGCATCTTACTGTATCTTACCACTACATGCTCCAAAGATCCTCCCCAAAGATCCAGCTCTGCTCTCAAAATTGAAGTCAAAGGAGTCACACACAGGAAGAAATAAAAAACAACAGTGATAATACAGTGGGTAGGAGGAGAACCGCCTCACACAAGGCCACAGGGACAAATTCCTCTACCCTCCCCCGAGCACAGCCCTCTCAGGCTGGTACAGCTGGCAATGTTCAAGAAGGTACAGAAACCACCTTCGTCCCGTCTTGAGGAACAGAATACTAATGTCCTCCATAGTCAAGAGTCCCATTCATGGAGCTATGGAAGATGAGAGATTAAGAAGCAAGGAGCAGAGTGTTCTCTAAATTGTACCAAAAAGAATTTAAAGGTACCTCCAAGAAGACTAAGCTCTCAATCCCTACTTCCCCATCCCTGCCATCCAGCATCTATACACCAATGCTAAGTTCCACAACCTTCAAGCCTCTGAACACATCTAAAGACATAAAGGCACAGGTTCCCACATCCCATCAATCATAGCCAGTAAACACAGACATACTAATACACTAAGGGGTTTTTCCTAAATCTAAGTGGAATAATGCCTAGCAGGCTTCCTCTGACCTACGAAGCAAAACTATGCTGATACCCCTTAATGCTATGCCTAAAAGGCCCAAAACAAACAGCAAGAAAAGCAGGGATTTATCTCAACCCACTATTCTCCTTGCATTCATCCCAGACTAACAGCTTTCACTCCATTTTCCCAGCCACAGGGGAAATAGAAGCTTGGAGAGGTGAAAGGCTGAAACAGGCCCTTGCGTGAACAACTCTTCAATAGGACTCAGGACTTCCTGGTTCCCAGCCTGAGAATCAAACCACACCTCTGTCCACCCCCATTTTGGGTCAGCCCTCTAGGAAAGACTCAAATGGCAATACTGGCCCTGAAGACCCTCCACACTGTCCCTGGGTCATCCTAGAATTTGCCACACCTAAGAGAAGCCACTGCTAACTTCCCATCTGAGGAAGCTGTTTGGGGACAGATGACAGGAGGAACCCTCCACAGAAAGCACTAGCAGAGACCACAGCTGACAGCTTACCTCACTTCACCAGCCCTGTGCCTCAGAAATTGTTTAAGGGCAAAACCCCTACTTTCTGCTTTCCAAGATCAAACTCAAAAGAGATCCAGTATATACATATGTATGTTGGAGGGGGTTGAGTGAAGGAGCAAAATGCACTAGCCAAATCCCTGCTGGGCAGCATGACAGGTGTGAGAGAGGCTGTCCTAGCTGGGGAGTTCAGAGTCAGAGGCGCAAGGCTCATGCTGCAACCTCCTGCACATGCATATACACCCCTTCTCCCAGCACCACTTGCTAGGGCTAGACACACTGACTTCCACCAGAAAAGTTCAAATCAAGTCATCCTATTCTGCAGGACTGGGATAGGATCAGAGGACCAGTTAGCATTCCTTAGTCAGAAAAGTGTTGGAGAAGTCTGGGAGGAGTCTGCAGGACTGGCTAGGGACTCATGGGCAGCCAGCTCTCCACACAAGGCCCAGAGAAAGCAGGAGACAAAAGCCATTTTTTTGCAGCCCACATTCGCAGGAAACAAATCTCCACAGCCTCCTCTATAATCCCCTGGAGATTATGTCCATCCCAGGAGTAGGGGAAGCAAAGCAGGCTAAGACAGCAGTAGGCCTAGCTAGGGTCACTTTGCCAGGCAGGGGTAGTTTAAAGTTGAACAGTAGGGACAGAGCTACCCCCAGCCCCTCCTCCTCCTTCACCAGTCACCCCTTCATCACACTAGTCAGTATCCACACACCCTCCCCTTTACTCCAGGTAAAGAAGACCTGGTGAAGGACCTAGGGCTCCTTGAGTTTCTCAGAGACTGCACTGGTGCCTGGCTGAGTAGGAACAACCTTAAAGTCCAATCTGGCAGTAAGTCCGACCTGGCAGTGGCACCCTCCCCCCATCCCAAGTTGTTCTGTCCCAAGACCCACGGGAACCCTGCGGGGAGAAGCAGCAGGCTGGGATTGGTGCTGGCACCATGGCCTGGGTCTTAATTTGGTGGAACTCCCCCCAACACAAAAATAAACGGGCAGAGAGACTATCTGGACAGGTTCCCAAACTCCCTGTTTCCCTGAACCCCCAGTCTTTAAAGAGGCACACCCCAAGACACCAGGCCTCGATTCTGCCCTAACGACTGGCTCAGGTTCCCCTGACAGACCCTGCCAAAAGAACCCTCCCCAGCTCTGGCACCCCCTTCTCCAACCTAAGGCCAGCACAGGCCAAGATAGTCCATCTGGCTGTGCCCCCAGTCCAACCCTTTCTGGGCCCTGGCCGGGCGGACTTCACTCACCTCTTCACAGGGCGATCCAGAAATCCTCATCCGAGAACATGGCCAGAGCCCGGGCCGCTCCCCGACCTCCAACCGCCAGAGCGATCACAGTCGCCCCCCGCACGGGGGGGCTTAGGGGGGCCAAGAACGGTAAATCCAGGTCGGAGTGGCCACCCTCCCCACCCCCCCCCAAAAAAAGCAAGAAGCCAAAGAGGGGTTCTCTGCCTCGGGTTCCAGCAGTTTAGGTTTCCATGGACAGCCCCAGGGCGGCGAATCCCGAGCGGACACAAAGAGAGCACCGGTGGCTTTGATCTTGGGCAAGAAGGCTCCGCATCCGCGTCGCCGGGCGGCCTCTCAGTCCTAGGGCCCGGCCAGCGCCCCGGCCGCCCGCGCCGGGCTCGGGCGGAACGTCGAGGCTCTCCAGATGGAACGTCGAGGCGCCTCCCCAGCAGCCCGGAAGGAATGCCGCGCCGCCCCGCGCCGGGCCCGGATGGAACGTGAGACCCTCACAGCAGCGCCGAGCCCCTCTCCCTGCCCGGCCGGCGCCCCGGGGCCGCGCGAGCTACCGCGACGCGGAGCCGGCGGGGCCGCGGGGTTGAACCTGACACACACCCAGCGCCGGGCTCCTCGACCCCGAGCGCTCGCCTCCGGCGGCTTCGAGTCCCCCCACCTTCTGCTCCCCCCGGGGAAGGGAGGAGGGTAGGTGGGCGAGGAAGAGGAAGGGGCGGGCGGTGCGAGCCCTCTGCCCGCTCCCCTCCGGCCGCTCCAGGCCCTGCGCTCGCCTCCCTTCCCCTCTGGCCTCCGGAGCTGCCCCGCCCCCGGCCTGGCCGGCTCAGGTCGGCGGCACCCCCTCGACCCCCAGTTGGCTGTGATCGCGGGGGGCCTAGAGGTGCATGGCCCAACCCCGGCTCCCGGCGCCAAGGGGTCAGGAAACTGAGCGGAAAGTGGGGAACGAGGCAGCCATTTGCAACCGGAGAGGAAAGTAGTGCAGCGCGGCGCCGCTCCGCCTCCCCCCCCCTCCGCCTCCTGTTCGGCCGGTAGGGTGGTTCCTGCGAAGGGGCTATTTCCTGGCCCGAGATCTGGGCAGCAGTCGCGGAGATTCGTGAAGCCTCTGGTGTGGGATCCTCCGGGACCTTCTGCCCGGGGAGCCCCACTCAAGAAGGGGAGAAAGGATAAGATGCGGCCCTATTTTGTGTTGGAGCGGGGCGGCGTAGGGATACGGCCCTCTCGGAGGAAAGGCTGTGACTCTGCAGTTCTACGCACACGTTATGGGATCCCTCCGCCACAGGTTAACCCCGACTGCGCCGGACCGGCCGCTGTGCAGACACGTGGGAATGAAGCCCCCCTGCTCGTCGCCCCAGTTCTGGAGCTGTCTTCCTTACCTTCTGGACGATGAAACTGGAATTCTGGTCACTTTCTAATTCCATTCCCTTGCAGTCGTTGGTTTCTGAAACTGCAGCTGCCCCCTTGTCTTGGCCAGGGGCAATCTTTCCCGGGAGGGGGATGGAAAAAGAGCCAGGAGATTGGACGCTGCTCTGCATCCTGGGAACTGGAGTCCGCAAATGGAGAAAGTGAGGCACGGCGCCTGGCGATGTATAGGGTGTGTTCTTGCCACGTTCGGGGGCCCAAAGAACTCTGGACGAGTTCCTAGTCTTTCCTTGAGGCTCCCAGACACCTTCTTGAGTAAGGACGGTCGGTGCCCTCACAATTGCCACACACACACACCGCTTCCCCATCAAAACATCAATACAGAGCTTCCTTCTCTTCCTTTTCAGGGTGCTCCTACCCCCAACTCTGGTGTTTCGGAATCTTCAGGCCCTCTGTCCCCACCCTCCCTCTTTTTTTTTTCTTTTTAAGTAAACTAAGGTAGCTTTCCTACTACCTGGCGGGAGTACTATTACTCTGAAAAAGATTCCAGAACACACTCTTGGCGGGCACCTCCACCCCAAGTCTGGATGAGAGGAAGCAATAGGAGTGGCTTTCTGTATGAGCTGTACACTTGGGGCAGGTAGAAGACAAACTAACAATGTGTAGATACTTTATATCTTCCTAGTTATTCCTCACTTGTATTATGAATTGCATGGAACTATCTCCATATTACCAATGAAAAGATTGAGGCTAAAAGAGATAAAATTGCCCAGGAAATCACATCTAGTGAGAAGCTGAGCCATGCTTCAAACCAAAGGCCATGTTTTGTTGATTAAAAACATTGTGTGTGTGTTTTTTTTTAGCTGTACTGAGTATTGTGAGGGAGGGGGTCACTACAAATGGTTTACATCCCCAGCCTTTTGAATTTTTTATTTTGAGACTGGGTCTTCATAAGTTGCTCTGGCTGGTCTAGAACTTGCTATCCTCCTTCCTCAGCCTCCCGAGTATTTTTTTGTTTTTAAAGGAAAAGTGAAGAAAGGCAAGCAGAACGGTACAGGACTAGTGTTGTGGGAAGAGTTTACGACACAGGCCCAATGGAAAAGGTGAGCACTTTGAAATGAAGGTAGTATTATTGAGGAACTTTTTATTTTAATTAAATTTATAAAGCCATATGTGACTTGGGGCTTCCATATTGGACAGTCCAATCTCCTGGCTCTTTTTCCATGGTTATAGGAGGGATCCGGACGAGGTATGTCCTCCACTATGCACACATTGACATCATGTTCTCTGCTCTGACCAAGTGCATTTCAGAAAAAAACAAAAATGAAAAACCTTTAGCAATGACCCCACATCTGTCCCAGCTATATAGTAAGTTAATTGAGAGATAGAAGTTGGAAAATGGAAGGTACCTCCTTATTGTCTGTAACCAGAGATAGGGAAAAGCAAACCCTCACTAGAAACTCCAATAATAACACTGACTTATAGACTGATAGCTACCATTTCTTTCTTTTTTTTTTTTTCTTTACTTTTTTTTCCCCTTGTACTGGGGATTGAACCCAAGGGCACTTAACCACTGAGCGACATCCCCAGCATTTTTTTATTTTTTTGAGACAGGGTCTCACTAAGTTGCTTAGGGCCTTGCTAAATTGATGAAGATGACTTTAATTGGGATCCTCCTGCCTCAGCCTCTCAAGCTGCTGGAATTACAGATATGCACCACTGCACCCAGCTGATAGCCACCATTTCTTAAGGGCTTGTATGTATGATGAGCTATGCAAAGTATTGTGTATATTACCTCATTTAATTCTCATCTCAGCAGTCTGAAGCAGATTTAACCACACTATGTAAGATGCTGAGGCTCAGAGACTTTAAGTGACTGCCCAAGGTCACAATGCTAAATGGAGAAGCTATTAACCACTAATAACTCAAGTTTTTCAGGCCCTGGGATTGCTAATTGATAAACATCTAGAAAAATCTCAGATGTCTATAAAGTCTATCCCAGGCTTTATGAAAATGGCAGTGGTAGGTTCCTGTAATGAGAATCCTTACCAGATGTGCAGAAGGACCTAATTGTATGCCATATATGACTTGGGGCTTCCAAGTAAAAAGTAAAGAGAGGATGATGATGGCCTTAAGAAACTTCCTAAGTCACTGAGATTGCTCTTTGGGGTATATATTTTTTTCTAGAAGCCTTATTTCTTGTTAGATTCTGTATCAGAGAAGCAAAAATAGGACTTTGAAAAATCGGCATGACAAAACATCATTTTCAGCCATAAGACTGGAGCCAAATACTGACAAGATCATGGCTAAAAATCCCACCTAGCAGGCTGGGATTGTGGCTCAGTGGTAGAGCACTTGCCTAGCATGTGTGAGGCACTGGGTTCAATTCTCAGCACCACATACCAATAAATAAATAAAATTTTAAAATTCATCAACAATGAATAAAAATGTTTAAAAAAAAATCCCACCTAGCTGGGCATGGTGGTGCACATTTGTAATACGAGCAACTCAGGAGACTGGAGCAAAGGATCACAGATTTTTTTTTTTTTTAATATTTATTTTTTAGTTTTTTTAGGTGGACACAATATCTTTATTTTATTTTTATGTGGTGTTGAGGATCGAACCCAGTGCCCCACGCATGCCAGGCGAGTGTCTTACTGCTTGAGCCACATCCCCAGCCTGGATCACAGATTTGGGCCCAGCCTGGACAACTTGGTGATACCCTATCTCAAAAAATAGCCAGGCCTGGTAGCACATGCCTGCAATTCCAGAGACTTGGGAGTTTGAGACAGGAGGATTATAAATTCAAGGCCAGACTCAGCAATTTAAAGGCACTAAGCAACATACTGATACCACGGTAGGGATGTGGCTCAGTGGTAAAGCACCTTTGGGTTCAATCCTCAAAACCAAAAATAATAAATTTTTTTTTTTAAATAAAAAGGACTGGGAGAGCTGGAACTGTAGCTCACTGGTAAAGAGATTTCCTTGCATGCATGAGGCACTGGGTTCAATCCTTAGCACCACATAAAAATAAAAATACTGTGTGGGTTCATCTACAACTAAATATATATATATTTTAAAAAGGACTGGGAATGTAGCTAAGAGTCCCCAGTACCACAAAAAAAAAAAAAAAATCACACCTAGATTTTGTCCGTTTCTCACCGCCACCAAGTAAGTGCACTGATAGGGTACTTCATCCTCCGCCAATTAGCAAGAGAGATCTATCCTCCTTATACATTTATGATACCATTCAAATAATCCATTTTATTGGAGGAGAAGCTGGGCCAGTTAGACTCTTGGGTTATGAGAAAGAGAGTCAAGAAAAACAGGCAGCTGGATAGGGTGGTGCATGCCTCCAATCTCAGCTACTTGGGAGGCTGAGGCAGGAAGATTACAAGTTCAAAGGCAGCCTCAGCAATTTAGCAAGACCCTGTCTAAAAAAAGGGCGGGGGGGGGGGGGGGGGGGCGGGGGAATGTGTCTCAGTGCTTAAGCTTCAATTGGCTTCAATTCCTGGTACCAAAAATAAAATAAATTTTAAAAAATTGAGACAGAGAGGTGCTGGGGTCGTGGCTCAGTGGTAGAGCGCTTGCCTGGCATGTGTGAGGCATGGGGTTCAATTCTCAGCACTGCATATAGATAAATAAAGATCCATTGACAACTAAAATATGTATATAGTGTGTGTTTATGTATGTATATATATAAACTGAGGCAAAGAGACCCAAACCTTTCTAGCTGAAATAGATAGCCATCCTCATTCTGAGGTGGTAAGTTGTTGAAAAAAGGACAAAAACAATATCCTTTGGCAGCTAAAACATGTAGCATGCCCCCCAAAATGTGAACAGTACAAAAAAATTAAAAAGCATAAAAAGAGCAAAGAATGCATATTATAATGAAAGGGACTAGGGGCAAAGAGGCTGATATGCACCAGAAGCATTATTTCTGACTTTCTCAACTTTCTTGGGGAATCAAAATCTTTTTTTTTTTTTTTTTTAATATTTATTTTTTAGTTTTTGGCGGACACAACATCTTCGTTTGTATGTGGTGCTGGGGATCGAACCTGGGCTGCACGCATGCCAGGCGAGCGCACTACCGCTTGAGCCACATCCCCAGCCTGGGAATCAAAATCTTCACAACACTTTTAGTCTTTACCTTCATTTTCACATTATAAGGAGTGAGGAACTTCCTTTTCCCCAAACTCTACCAGGAGTCTCAGCCAACTACTAAGGTCCCAGGGACAACACCTAGATCAGCATATGGCAGGTGGCCACTAGAGGGTGGTGTTTCTGTAGGTAAGGGAATGTTAAGAGCCTAACTTGGATGGGTGGAGCAACCAACAGAAACTCAGTACTGTAGAGAAGAACCTAGCAGAAAGGTGAGAAAGGCAGGTGGTAAGTCTTAGGGTAATGGTCCTTAATAAATGAGGAGTAAGGAGTAGGAATGAGGTAGGAGGAATGATTTCCCACCAAAGACCATCACTCCTTGGAAAAGGAATACTGGTCCTGAGCTTCTCAGATACAGAAAAGTCAACAACAAAAGATTTCTCAGTTTATTTGCATATATACATTGTCACACCAGGAAGCCAACTCTTCTTCAGGAGTCCCCAGCTCTTCTTGCCCAGGCAACACCAAAAACCTATACAGGAGGATGAGTCCTGGATAAACAATGCCCAGGACTCATATACCAACCCACAGGTTCTAAGAGAATTCATTTAGAGGAAAAAAGGGTCTAGAGAGGCCAGTGCCCATGAGACATCCTTGCCCTTTGTAAACATTGACACCCAGGCCACTGGAGCCTGTGGAAAGTGTGCAAATATGAGGTACCACACTGTGTGCCCAGAGGGCTAGGAATAGCTGGCAGCTATCCATGAAGTCCAGAGGGTCTGTCCCCCAATGGAACCCAGCAAGTGCTAGAGGCAGCAACAAGGGAGTTACCCCACACCCGAGGGCTCACATGAGACGGCATCGTCGCTCTTGCCCATAGGAATTCTCCACACGAGCAATCTCCTGGATGACTTTTGTGAAGATGCCTTGAGTCAGCTATAAGGGATAAGCATTCAGGGCAAAAGTCAGTTTGGTGCCAGCTCTGAGGTGAACGCCCCATTCCCCTCCCATCCCCACCACCAAGCAATGTATAAGGAAGAAACTGCTATCCCCACCACCTTCCCAGTACCTGAGTCTCTCGAGCAGATGACTCCATAAATGTCGCACCCCAGGACTCTGCTAATTTCTTCCCTTCAACTGCCTGTACCTCTCTAGAAGTAAATTTGGGACATAAAAATGGATGATAACAAGGTACCCAAGTTCTCTGCAAAATCTTTAGAATCTAGACTTCTCTGATACTTCCCATCTCTCCAAAGTTTGCAACAAAGGTTGAGGAAAGAGATAGAGGTAAACAAAGGGCTGAGTCTTGCAGCTGGGGATATAGCTCAGTAGAGTGCCTGCCTCACATTCACAAGGCCTGGGTTCAATCCCCAGAACCAAAGGGAGATTAAAAAAAAAAAAAGGAAAAAAGGACTGAGGCTTGAAATACTGCAACTGTGGCTTTTGTGATAGAAGGGTTATCTTCTCTTAACCCTCTAGTTAGAAATGAAGAGAGGTGAAATAATTTATTTGAGTCAATAGTAGGGATAGGACTAGAGTTTAACTGATTCCTAGTCTAGCTCACTTTCCTTAACCCTGAGCAGCAGAGACTTACATACCTGTCTGGAGAGAGATCTGCCTTGTTCCCCACTAGCACCACTGGCAGCCTGTGAGGAGATGGCAGTGACTATAGGCTCCCCTCTCATTCTCTATGGACCCCAACCACCTTCAAATCAAGGCTTGACAAATCCCCATCAGACTAGGCATGATCTATGTACTAGCCTCCTTTCTAATTTAGACAATTCACCCGGTTGCTCCTCCAACCCCCTTCAGCCCACTTACCGGGTTTTCCCATGCCCTTCATGTAGCTTTTGGTACAGACTCTCAATGACTTGGAAGCTTTAAACACAAGAAATGGAGCTATAATCTTAATTCTGAGACAGTCCTCATGTCCTCCCAAGTCCCCCACAACTTTGTTTACTTACCTATGTAGAGAGGTGACAGAATACACAAGGACATAACCATGGACCCCAATGATGAATGAATAGGGCAAAATGCTGTACTCATCCTGACAAGAAATAGAAACATTAGTACCTAGATCCACACCACTCAGATGGCAAAGGTCGGTGGGACAGTGTCCAGTGTTCTTGGGGCACTCCCCACTCCAGTCACTTCTATCCAATAAGTTTATGGAACAGCTCTAATGAGCCCTATAAACAGTGTTAGCAGCTAAAATGCTTTTCATCCAATACTACTTTACACATGAACCACAAAAGCTGCCAAACTTTATCTCCTAGGGCTGAACTACCACATTTGAATACCCTGCCCCAACTGGTACCTGCCCTGCTGTGTCCACCAGGTGTAGGTGAAACTCATCTTTGCCAAGAGTCACTATCTTGCTGTAAGCTGAAAAGAAAAGAAAACTTGACTGTGAGGTGCCTTGTACAGCCAGCAATGTGTACCCCATACATTCTTAACTCTGGAGGTGACATAGATGTACCAGGTCCAGGGAGCTCTCCAGGAAACTAAAGTGACATGCTAGGACTTTTACTGTCTATATGTACACTCTTCTGGACATAGTACCTTGCAAATCCATACTCTATTCACCCACAGAACAAGATTGCAAGAGGAGATTAGATTTAACAACTAAATAAAGGAGTCCCTTGGCAACAGGAAAATCCCAAATCATGGAGTTGGGTGAGGCACCCAAGCCTTCCAGGTTATATCCCCTTCACACCAAAGGACAAACTACTCACTATTCTCCACTGTAGGATCGTAGCCTTCCAAAAACTCGCCTTTCACAAATTGATGTGCCAAAGATGTCTTCCCTGTAAAGTGCAGAAGTAGTATGTAAAACATCCCTCCACATTCACATCCTCAATCCTAAAGGACTGTGGCTCAGGACCAAATAGTACCCCAAATCAGTACCCTAGTCTGTGAGCGCCCCAACAAAGGCTTTCTCTTATGCTACCTTCACCATCTTTTGGCCTTGTCTCTTCGCTTTGGCTCCCGGGTGCATACAGCAGCACAGCAGGAAGCCTTTCCTGCCACCTTTCCCTACCCCACCTCACTCCCGGGAAAATTCGATATTCCTAGGAGTGTCCTCACTGCCCCAGGACACTTGTGACTATTTGCCCACACCTTCGAGTCCGGACCCCATCTCTACTCCCAGGATAATGCTGAGGACCTCTCAGATGTTCCTGCAGTCAAGTCCACATTAACCCTTACAAGCTACGGCTTCCTGCAGCCTTCAACACACCAACCTTTTTTCCTCCATCCCTCGCTCTAAACACCCGGCACTGGGTCAAGTTCCCGCGACAGCGCGCCTCTTCTGACCACAAAGCTGCGGTGCATTCCTGTTCTTTGCAGGGCGGAGACTCACCTACAGAGCGGTATCCAAGGATGACCACCTTCCTGTAGCGGACCAACGGCATGGCAGGAACCCGCCCCGAGGGACATGCAGAACTGCGGGCTAAGAGAGCCCGAAGAAGAGGTCTGGATGTAGACAGGCACGGCAACCGGTGCAGGAAAATCGTTCACCCCAAAGCTTCCAGAGGCAAGCTAAAGAAAAACCAAAACAAGCGCCGCGCCCGAAGTCGGCCACGTGATCACAACACAGCAAGACTAACGCGAGGGAGCCGGGCGCCCGGCGAACTACAGAACCTGGTGGCTCCGGGCTCCGCCCCCCAGGCCTCTCATCATTGGTCTATTAGAATGGATGAGGGCGGGGCCGCCCGGCTAGAGGGACTGGTGGGCCTCACGTGGAGCGGGAGAACCTGGAGCTGCGCGTGCGTCGATTTGAGCCGGTTCATTCATAAAGAAACAGAATGGAACACGGGGTCCTAAAGGTATTTGCGCATTTGCAGCCCAACAGGAGTGGCTACAAAGTGTCATAGATGGAAAATACCCACCGTGATTGAGCCGGAATGTCTAGTCAAAAGATTCTAGGCCTCCCTTTTGCAAGGTCTCTGGGGTGTTTGGCTAGGAAAGAAAATCCAAAGTTCATGAATTTTTTTCTTCGCTTCTTCAGCCTGCAACCCCAGATCTTTTGTTTTTAGGTTTCCCAGTCTTCCAGGATTTTTCTTTTTCCGGTTCTGGGATGGAACCCAGGGGCTTGGAACTGCAATTCTTGTTCTTGGAAAATTTGCAAGAATGTGTAACCGACTAGTTTGAGTTGTTGTCGTCGTCATAAGTAGTGCGCTCATTTATTCAGCAAATATTTATTAGGCATATACTACAAGTTCCAGACATCGCTCCAACTTTGGGGATGGAGAGATGAACATACCAGACAAGGTCTCTATTCTCACAAAGCTTAAAATTTATTGAGGAGAGGGTCTGGGGTTATAGATCAGTGACATGTAGGAAACCCTGGATTCAATCCCCAGCACGAGGGGGGGGAATTATTGAGGGAGAAACAAACATATAGACAAAAAAACAACAACAACAACAAAAAAAACAAAAAACAGTGCAGTGTTAAGTGCTATTAAAGGTGGTATGATAAGAAATTACCACTTCTGATTAGTGATACTCCTTCTCAGAGGGAGTCCCCCTTAAAACTGATATCTGAATGGCAACAAGGAGTTAACTAGCTGAATATGCCAAAAGAAGAATCCATCAATGCTAAAGTGCTAAAATGGAAATAAATTTTGTTAATTCCAGGAAGGTGGGGGGAAGAGCCAATTAGCCTAAAGCATATGAAGTTTAAGAGGAAAGTAGAGACCAAACAACATAAAGAAGTCCAGGCTAATTCTAAATACCTAAAGATGTTTAATCTGGTTTAGAAATGACATCATCAGAACTGTTTCTAGTGCTAAGGATGTAATTCAATGGTAGAGCACAAGCTTTTATGCATGAGACTGTTGAGAGCCACAGTTTAGTTTAGTGGGAATGACACCTGGCATTTTGCTAGAGGGAATGGTTGAAAGGTGACCCTGCTCTGGGATTAGGGCGGATCCTGGGGGGGATTAGGGCGGATCCTGCTGCCTGGGGAGCCTGCTACTTTGGAGTTCCCCTTGAGTTCTCTCTGGGTTCTGTAAGAATTGGCGTGCCAAGCCTGTGGAGGGAATATATTCCCGGAAAGTGTGTGTAGAGTGCCTGTGAGAGTTCGGGAATAAAGAGTTGCTGTTTGAACCTACAAGGCTTTGTGGCCTCTCGGTTATTTCGTGCCCAGCCAGACTGCAGCATGAGACCCTGGGTTCCATCCCAGCACAACTCCACCATCAAAAAAAAAAAAAAAAAAAAAAAAAAAAAAAGCAATTCTAAAAGATCTTCCTCACTCTGGAGAGATTGGAGTTTGATGGGAGCAGGAGCAAGAAAGAAGGTGGAGAGATCGGCTAAGAAAGAGACTATTACTGTAGTCTAGATGGGAGATAAGGTTGGTTTGGCTAGAATGGTAGTAATAAATGAAGTAGAGAGAAAAGATATGTTTGAAAACTGAGGTCAAACTGACTTGTTGAATTATTGGACATGGGGAAGGGAGGGGGAAAACACTTAAATTTATAGAGTTCTACTATGTACTAAGTGCATTTTATTGTTATCTCACTTTATATTTACAACAAAACTAACATCGATAATTATTTTAATTTATTCATTCATCAATATATAAATGTTGAGCCAGGCAGGATGACAACACACATGTCCAGCTACTTCAGAGGCTGAGGTGGAGGATGGCTTTAACTCATGAGTAACAAGACCCCATCTTAAAAAAAAAAAAAATAGTGTAAACACACACACCTGTAATTCCAGCTACTTAGGAGGCTGAGGCAGGACAGCAAGTTCAAGACTAACCTAGATAATTTTAACAAGACCTTCCTCTAAAAGAAAAAAGAAAAGAAAGAAAAAGAAAGAGAGAAGGAAAAGGTGCATGCCACAACACCCAGTTTATTTTGCATTTCTAATATGTTTTTTAAATCTAGATCTACAAAAGTTGCTTCAAAAAACCACTCCTAATCTGGCCTCAGGAAAGGATCCAAATATCTTTTGCTATTGGGTAAAAAAGAAGTTATTTGCAGACTAGCAATTTTATGTTGGATTTTATGCATGAATAAGGTTGATGGTGATTTCAGATTGGGTTGTGAGTACTGTAGGACAGAACAGATAACTAAATTCAATTAAATGCAAATAAAAATGGATTCATCTCCTACTTTTTGCCAGGACTCTCACTGTGTGCTGCGTTTTGTAGATGTAAGAAAAGAAAAAAGAAAAAGATAGATGCCTGTGTGGTGTTTTTACCTCCAGATTAATTCTCCAATATTTTTTACCTCAATTTGTGTCCAGAAGACTTTTCCCTCTGACTCTCTGTGGAGCCTAAACAAAAGGAAGCACTCAAAGGAGATTAGAATGAAAGAGGAGGGTGGCTGGGACCCCTCTGAAGGTCAAAGCTCCTCTTGAGGAAGCTACCTCTCACTCAACTCTCTCCTGGTTTGCTGTAACCCCTGTCCTCACTCCTCATGCCTACAGTTGTGATGGGCCTATGTTATATACCTTGGGTTACTATTCTACTCACTATTGCTTTCCTGTACTCTGTCCGCACCTCTGTAAATAGTCTCTTCATTAACTCATCTTCAGACTCTTGCTGTGAATCAGGTATGGTGGTACACACCAAAGTGAAAGAGATCAGATAAAGGGCTTTCTCCTCTTGTGGCCTTTTCTGTTTACATGTGGAGGGAATATCTTTAGCAGATTGTCTCCTTGAATAAAACTGTACCATATAACCATCTGTAGCTGTAAGGGAGTCCAGAAATTTTACCATTTTCCTTTCTAACCTCTATAGTAAAGGAAGACAAAAGATGAGATGATTAGAAATAAATATTTAGGGCCAATAAGTGTGGTAGTGCATGCCTGTAATTCCAGTGACTTGAGAGACTGAGGCAGAAGCATCACAAGTTGAAGGTGAACCTGGGCAAAAGTGAGACCCTCAGCAATTTAGCTGAGTTACATCTCCAGTCTTTCTTTTTATTTATTTATTTATTTATTTATTTATATTTTGAGATCTCAAAATATAAATAAATAAATAGAAAGACTGGAGATGTCACTCAGTGGTAAAGTGACAGGATTCAATTCCTCATATCAAGAAAGAAAGAAAGAAAGAAGGAGGGAGGGAGGGAAGGAAGGAAGGAGGGAAGGAAGGAAAGAAGGAAGGAGAGAAAAGAAAAGAAAAGAAAAAAAGGAAGAATGAAATGCTTAGGCTGGGATGTAGCTCAATGGTAAAGTATTTGACTGGCATGTACATAAGCCCTGGTTTCAGTCCCCAGCACCAAGATAAATAAAGAAAAAAAATGTTTCTTGATTCAATCTACAAAACCTATATAACTTTAGGACCAAGGTTTTTGTTTGTTCAATATTTGTTCATGAGTCTGGGGGTATAGTTCAGTGGTAGAGTGTATGCTTAGCATGTAAGAAAAATAAATATTTGTTCATTAAATATCACTTTTTTTAATACTAGGGACTGAACCCAGGAGTGCATTATCACTGAGCCACATTCCCAGTTCTTTTAAACTCACTTAAGTTGCTTAAGGCTATGCTAAATTACTTTCAATCCTGCTGCCTTGGCCAACTGAGTAGCTGGGATTACAGGTGTGAGCCACCATGCCCAGTTTATCAGTTATTTTTTAAAATAATGTACAAATGGTCACTAGGTAAAGATTACAGTTATACCAAGATCACCAATACAGGACCAAAAATAAAGGAAGCAAACTATCCTAATGTTAGATAAATAGGTTTACAATGACATTGTTAGTAATAACACCATACAGTGCTATGTCTCAAACAACTGAGACAAAATAAAGATTAAAAAATTCCCAGAAAAATGTTTTAAGTATCTCTGTAAAAAGTGAAAACATCTGCCAGGTAAATTGGTACACACCTGTAATCCTGGTGACTCTGAAGATCAAGACAGAAGGATTGCAAGTTTGAGGCTAGCCTCGTCATTTTAGTGAGGCCCGAAGCAACTTAGTGAAACAGAATTTAAAAAATAAAAGAGCTGGGATTGTAGCTCAGTGGTAGAGCACTTGCCTAGCATGTGTGAGGCTCTGGGTTTGAGTCTCAGCACCACATATAAATAAATAAAATAAATGTCCATTGACAACTAAAAAAAATTTTTTTAAATAAAATAAAAGAACTGCGATTGAAATTGTAGCTTAGTGGTAAAGTGTCCCTGTTCAATCCCCACTACAAAAAAATAAAAATAAATGAGAATATCTCTATAATGTTTGCACCAAAATTATGTTGCATTTTTCTCTCCAGTGAATTCTGTTGCACAGGCTTTAGGGTTTCTTTTTTTTTTTTTTTTTTTTTTTTTTTTTTTTTTTTTTTTATTTTTTTTTAATATTTATTTTTTAGCTTTCGGCAGACACAACATCTTTGTTTGTATGTGGTGCTGAGGATCGAACCCGGGCCTCACGCATGCCAGGCGAGCGCGCTACCGCTTGAGCCACATCCCCAGCCCAGGGTTTCTTGATTTTCCATAGTTATGGAAACTTCCCTACTGATTATTATTGCAATGTAATAAATAGGATCAAAACTTTGTAGCTTAAAAAAAAACTTAGTAGCTTAAACAATAACAATGTATTATCTCTCAGAAATCTGTTGGTTGAATTGGTTATTCTTCTATTCCCTCTCCTGGAATCATTCAATCATACATGTAGCAATAGTCAGCT